GTGTGTCAAAAGGAATTCCGAAATAGACAAATGTCAGCCTTCTAAAAACACAAATAAAAAGAAAGGAAAAATCTATTGCTAAGAAGAAAATAATAATGAAGGTTAGCAAGAAGAGTGTTAAGAACCAGGAATCTAGTGGCTCATCTGAAGAAGATGAAGAACTCGTTTTAAATGATGATTCTAACATGGATTGTGACATTGGGGAAGAGGAAGCAGAATGTATGCATCGTTCTGGACTCTTCTCTGAAGATAAAGCGGATGAACAATGGTGCTCAAAATATTTCAAGTTGGCTCATACCGACTGTGCCAATATAGAAAAGAAGACGCATATATATGTGATTTCTGTTTCGATGGCTAATTTTACATTGTTGTCCTAATACCGGGTGCCTTATCCGGTATTAGGAATATTTTTTTGTCAACAAGAATTGAACATTTTTCTTAGAATTTCGATTTTACTTTTTATTAGCTGGCAATTTTTTTTTGTTTAATATATGGTTCTGTATAGCATATCCTTTCTTTTGCTGTAAAGATATCGTCAATTTATTGACAGATTGAAATTAATATTAGTGCTAATAAAAAAGTATCCGATATTAGGGCAGTTTACTCTATCAGGATTATCATATTTTCATTTCGATTGTAGTCTGAATAAAAGAGAAGTACAGTAAAAGTGGGGATATAACGTCATATTCCATAGGCGTACTTTACAAAAAAAGTTTCTATAATTTAAATAAGGTCACGGCTTATAAACTGGTATATATATAAAATTTTTATTAAAAAAAGTTATATTATTTACAAAAAATAGAGATCAACCGTATGCTTCTGACAAAATTGTTGCACTTTAACCTTTAACGAATTAAAGAACCCCGCACAAATCTTATGGAAATTGGCTCCCAGTCAAATTGGCTGAAATTTGGATATTATTATGTTGTTCGTTTCGGCATCCTGAGCAAAAGTCTCAATAGGTACAAAGCTCAATTTTGCTTATATTGGCTCCTACGGAGCTCCAAAGCTTCACAGATTGACCATTATTTACTACTTAAAAAGGAAATCTCCTCGAAAGTTTAGTATTTGCTGTGTTAAAAAATGAGTACCTTCTTATGTTTTCGGGGTCGCATTCAAATCCAATGCCAATATTATAATATTGACGGTTGACAGTTGTCAACTAGCTATAAAACAACAAGCAATAATCAAAATTGATAAAATCCACATGTAAATATCTATTTTTGAGGTTCGTAAGTTCAAAACCTATGTTAACAACTCGATATTGACAGTTGACAGCTGTCAACTAACTGTCAAACAGTATGTGACAATCGAAATTGACAAAATTCAGGAGTAAATAGATGTCTTCGAGGTTACTGAGTTCAAAATTCAATGCTAATCAATTTTATTTTTGTAAGAGACTGTACAAAACACATGTAAGCTTATATACATGGATATGTTATTATTTTAATAAAATCCATCCGGCAACCTCATAAATATAGGAATGGTTTGCTATAGATATTTGTGACTTCCTCATATTAATTTTAAGGGTTTGTTTTGATTCAAACAGAACCGCTGATTCCAGTTCTCCAAGACAGTGGACGAATTAATTTTTCAAGAAAACGTCGCGATGTTATAACAACCTCATAGCTGATCGAGTGTTACTTTGGTACAACGCGTTGATTGCAGCGTATACAATGTTGCCAAGTTGTAATAATTTTACGCAACTACGCGTCGATTGCTTTAAAAATATTTTTATTTTAAAAATCTATATCTTTTTACTAAAACGGTCAAAAAATTCAGCGTTTCTTTAGAAATTTTTATAACTTCTTGATTATTACATTACATTAGTTTTTAAAAAATATGGTAAGAACCGTTTTCGAGATATTTTGAAATAAATGCATTACTTGTGTACATAAGAGGCTTAAAGAGTGTTAATTATGCACATTTTGATTGTTAATATCTCGTTTCACAGAGGGTCAAAAAAATTTAATTTTTTTTTAGTTACATAAAAGACACTTTCATTGACCATATATTTCAATTTTATTGAATTCTTAAGAAAAGCCGTTTTACGAGTGAACTACCTTAAGAACTATCTTTAAAAGTCACAGTCACTATAACTACTGGTATCATTATCATTGTCTTCTCTGAGGTTTATTATTATAGAAGTTCTCCATTGCTATGTCTACTTTCCAAAATGAATTTTCTAATCAATTAAAATATATACGATACGGCTATGAATAAATAAAGCTTGACTTATCTGTCAAACGAAAAGGTTTATTACAATAAAACTCATGGAAACATGTTTGATTAAATCTTAACGAAAACTTTTATTAGGCCGATTAAATGTATCAACATTTTCATTTTAATTACAAATAAGCATTGAAGGATGGGGTATAAATAACATGTCTACCTCTTGAACATGTACTATGTTTTGCAAATTTAATTACTGCACTCTTTTCTTTTCTAGACTATAGTAACAAAGCGGAATCTTGGGTGGTACCCTCACCGAGCGAAGTGGGACTTATTTTATTTAGTGGTATTACACAGTACAAAAAACTACAATGAATAGGTAATGTTTTATTGATTGTTATTTACACTAGTATAATATATTGTCACAGTGTCTTTGTGTCTTAAAATTATGTCGATATATTAACACCTAATTGTATTTAAACCTAAACCGAAAAACCTAATATAATGATTAGATAAAACAAATAATTATACGTTAATTGAAAATTGATGATACATTATTCATTCTTAACTATCCATTAGTTTCTGGGCCTATTTAATTATTATTGATACTATAGATAATATATATAGATTAGAAGATATGACTAATAGTAAAGTGTTAAAAAAATTTACATCATAAGGAAGAATCAACATAACTGAATTGGTTAATCGTTAAATAATTATTAATAATTTGAAACTAAGAAACAAAATAGTTAACGAATTTATTCATATTTTTGAAGAAAAACCCTATAGATTAGGTATAGGTATTAGCAATAATAAAACATTTTAATTTATTTAAATGTAGGGGTTGATATTCTAACAACGGCCAAGTACTTTTACGATAAAACTAATTTTTTAATAGTTTATTAGTTTATTAGTCTAATATTATTTTAATTATATTTTTTAAAATGTTTAACTTTAAAATACACACATCTCCAAAAGTCTTGGTAACTTTAACCGCGGTAAATATAAGGTGACTATTTTTTGTGTATACATTCTTCATTGTCTTATCATTTATAAACACAACAGGTTGTGAGCAAAAAACTATTTTCTTCCGAAAATATGCACCATTTGAAAAGAAATCAGTTCTAAGCTGACATCGAGTATTAAAGTATCAAGTAAATTTGTCATAAAATGCCAGGTCATTCGATTTCTCAGTTTGTCCGGGCAACAATAGTGGCCTTACATCAAGAGGATTTGTCAAATCACCAGATTGCGGGTAAGGCGCATTGGCCTTTTTCCAGGAAACGAGCAATGTTGTGCGAAAGACGGTGACTGGTGGACCCAGAGTGACATCAAATTTTACCAGAAGGAACCAAAGTATGACGGTAACAGCTCTTCGAGGTCATTTTTTGCGAAAGTACCGGAGGGTAGTTTCGAGAAGAACCATAAGAAAAAGATTACATTCCTCAAATTTTAGGGCAAGAAGACCTTATGAGTGCCTAGGCCAATGGACTCAAGCGCACAGGAACTGGACTTTTACCACAATGGTGGGAAAGGGTTTGGAGGGGTCCAGGAAGACAGATGACTTACTTTGGCAAAAGGTATTATTCCTTATCAAGGCGGATCAGTGATGTTTTGGGAGGTATAATGTTTGGTCACCGCACCCCACGTATGTTGATTGAAAGAACTATGACAGGTATCATATACGCTGAAGACATTATTCAACCAATTATTCAGCCTTTGCGCAAAGAATTTGGGAACAATTTTATTTTTCAAGACAAAAATGCCAGACCGCATCGCACGCAAAGGGTACAAAACATGATGCAGGAAGGAAATATCCAGGACTTGACTGTATAGCTGTTCGAGAAGAGCGGGACAATATGTCTGATCATTTTATTGATAATCGGATCCGTGGGATGCCATGATTGAAAGAAGAGGCGATAATACAAATTATTAAGTTATGTTTTTGTTACGATGTAACAGCTTTCACAAAAAATAAAAAATTTTTACTTACAAATTTTGGAATTTTTTTTGTAATTTTCTTTATTCTGCATTATTCGAAAAGCAAATTACAAAGATTGTCCATCACATAGTTTGTTAATAAATCAAAGACTAAGATTCACTTTATTTTCAAAATTCAATTTGATTATTTTCAAAATTACCTTGGGGAGACAAGACTTTTGGAGATGTGCGTTTAAATAATGTACCTATACTTACAAACCTTTGATATTATATAATATAATACGAACAAAAGTTTTACCAATTACCAAACAGTAAGTACCTCTGCATCTGTGTTTCAATAACTTATGAAAACAATAAAAATAACTAGAATTACCTTCTAGATGACATTTGATACAGAGGTGCTTCTTAATGATATATGAATATTTAAGGGAGCGAATTAACATGGAAAAAAAATTGCTTTATAAACAATGTTCAAAAAATTTTCCATTACGAAAATATGAGGCGCTAAAGTTTTTGGAAAACATTGGAAATTAATTAATTATTTCGAAACCACTTGAGATATGAAGTGTACAGGGGGAAAAGGGACTCGTCGACAATTTTCAAAAAATACCGATGTTGTGCCATGTTGTACTTTGCTTCGTGATCTTTCTGGCGATGTTATCGAAATCGGCAAAAAGGAGCTTCTTACCAGCTATATCTGTTTTAAAAAAAAAAGTCTACAGGGCAAGAATGGGCTCATTTAGCAGATGCAGACAAGAAGGGGCTTATTGCGTCAAAAATTATTTTGCGTGTGGCTTTTGCCACATGTTTGACTGTTCGACATACTGAATTGGAGATTATATACACCTGTTTACATGACACGTTCTTAAAGGAAGTGATAATTAAAAATGAGTATCAGTAATGATGATAATGAGTTTGAAGATGGCGTAGAAGTAAAGAAAACGAGAAAAAGGAAAATACCTGGAAGAATGAGAGATGTTAGGAAAAAAATTAAAACTATGTCACATGAAATGGGACCAGACTGCCAGTGCCAAAAAAATGTTTTGAATTAGTGTCACAAGAGACTAGGATTAAAATTCTGCAACGATTTAATCTTCTGCCTTCTACTAATGCAAAAAATGTATACCTTTGTGAACTAATATCCGTGTTGCCCGTCCAGCAACCATCAAAAAAAGAAGTAAACAATTTAAAACCAGTTAAATAAATATCAATTAAGAGGAATTTTTAATGATGCTGTGAAAGAATTTGAAGTATACCGTAAAGCTTTTATATCTATTCATAGTATCATAAAAAAATTGAGTATCTAGTAAAGAGCCTCAAATCGACTGGAGCAGCACCGAAAGACAAACGTGGCTTGCATGGTAAACAAGAGAACTCGCTTAGCATTGAAACAAAAAGTGCAGTCCGTGAACACATTAATTCATTTAAGGGAAGAAATGGCCATTATAGCTTGAATAGGACCTCAAAACTTTATTTGCCCAAAGATTTGTGTGTAAAGAAGACGAACAACATGTTTTGCGAGCTCAACTCAACTAGTAAACTATCCTACGAAAGTTATAGAACTATTTTTAATCATGATTTCAACATAGGTTTCGGGTACTTACGTACTAATACATGTAGCACATGTGATGAGTTTGTGGTAAAGTTAAAAGGTTTAGAAGCAGAAAAAAGAAGAGCAAGCAATGACAAAGACGTCAAGAAAATAACGAAAAAAAATTGAGAGCATTACTATAGAAATCAATATTCCCAAAAGAAAAGCCGAGACATTCTATAAAAGAAAAAGAGATGCAAAAGATGTATGCAAAAATCTGCACACATTTCTACGAACGATGTCTATTACAAGAGGCAATTTTCTATTTATTGGTTCAATGTTCATGTCCTATGCAGCTCGCGAAGTGTATTCTACGTATACGACGAAACTGAAGAAAAAATGGAAATCAATAATGTTTGCTCTATGCTCCATCATTTTATCTTACAACTTTTTGGACCCCTTAGTGACAGAGCTTCAGATATTTTGTGACTCCTGCAGTGGTCAAAATAAGAATTTTACGATGTTCCGATTTTTACATCATTTGGTAAATATCGAAAGAAGATTACAGAAAATAAAAGTCACTTTCCCAATAAGAGGACATTCATACCTCGAATGTGACAAAAAATAGGGGACTGATTAATACTATGGCCAAAGATGAATTGCCCAATGAATGCGTCAAAGTTTTTCGAGAAGCACGTTATAAATTATCCGGTTTTGAGGTTTTTGAAGTGGACCACTCGTTTTTTCGAAACTGGAATGATCATCTAGAAAAAAATATACATCAAGAAATCACTGTTTCCGTCACGTCTCTTGAAGGACTTGGAAGTACTACCAGGTCCAGTATTCAAATTTCGTTCTACATACAATGTCCTTTGGAAACGTGCAACAATTCAGAAATAAAAAAACCACCTGCGAAGAGGTCTACAGGACAACGAGTTCATTCTTCCTGGTCAGGCATATGGAGGTGACAGGCATAATAACCATCATTATTTTATGTTATAAAATTTTTGTGTATATATTATTTTCAGATAGACTGCCATATCTAACGATAAATACCAGGATTTGTTAAATAAATCATAGTTATTTGTTGTACGTTTGTTGTTTAAATTTTTTTGGTTTATGAAAACTCACGATCATTCAAAGGCGGGGGTATTGGCTTAGTCAGATCTCTGAGAGAGGGAGATACTGACAAAGGGAATAGTCCCTGTAGGGCAAACCCTTTCCCCGTCCTCTGAATCATCGTCAGGAAGTTAGGGTTCCTTAGGCCCATCCCGTCTGAACTTAATCCCCTAACCGTGTGTTATCTAGAGGCCAATTTAAATACAAATTGGGCCCATCTATATAACTCGTGGTTACCGCTAAGAGTGGACTTTAGGGTCAGTCAAACAGGCCTATAATCTCATTCTTAACAACTGAAGAGATTTTACAGCGAAAACACCTCATACCTATTTCTTTTCAAACATTCCTCACAGATAGAGTATATTTTGAGTTATAAGCTGCTTTTTCTTCGTATTTTTATTTTTTTTCCATAAAAACTTACCATATATAATTATGCGCCCCTTTTTGCCTAGTACGTATTTACATCAACTAGAAAAAATCTTGATTATTCAAAAACGATAGAATCTATTTTAACCAAATCTGAACAGAAAGTCTTAGAAATTATTACGGTTTGACATATTTTACTCATTTATAGATTGTGAGTATCTTAAAGCCTGTAATCACTTTTAAAGCCAAATTTTGTAAATAACTCGGAAAGCAAAAATTGTTAATGAGTCCCTTTTTCCCCCGTACTCTTCATATGTCACTGATATTTAGAACGCAGTGACAATTAATAAATGAGCATATTTTTTAGTGCAAAAATCATTCTCATCTTTACCAGTGACGTTTATAAAACAAACTATCATTATATATTCAAGTAGATTCACACCCTTTAATATTCGTATATCATTAAGGAACATCCTGTATTCACATTAGTTGCAACTTCGGTAATAACAACTTAGTTGGTAAAACATCTAAATTCTAAAACATATTTAATAAACCATAAAACTTTTGTTTTTATCGAAATAATATACGGAATGTTAAAAAAGGGTGCAAAATATTTAAAGAGTTATCAGTATGAACCAAAAAAAAACAAAAAAAAAAACATGGGTCCGTAAATTAACGGTTTCGGAGATATAGGAGGTTATTAAATTGTTTGCCTTCTTTTTTATTTTGTAAAAATTTCCATTTTCTTATCATAGCTGGCTGATAATTTTTTTAATGAACATAATGAGATCATAAACTATACCATTCTATAATTGAATGGAACATTTACCTGTTTAATGACATATTTTATTTTGTCAATTTGTTTCAGTTACGCCCTATATAAAAAGTAATTTTCTTCCTATTTTTGGTTTGTTTTTTGTATAAAAATATGTTGTTGTTTTTAGAAATAAAATAAACTAAATCATAAATTATGAACATTTTTATGATCTATCAGTAATTATACATTTTGTTAGAAACATGTATTAAATTAAAATTAATTATTAGTGTACCTATAATAAAAGGTTTTAAAACTCTTAACTTAAAGTATAATAATTATTGGCTACCTAGTATTTTTAACCAAATAAATTTCATATAAAGTTTTAATTAAAATCAGAATTCGGAAAACTTATTAATTTAAATAGGCTCAGTAGGTTAACCGATTTTTTTTGTATACATCGTTTTGTTAAAAGAATTAAACTATTAAGGTATGAACGAATTACAACAAAAATACTTGAAACTTTTAATAAAATGACCCCAATTTATCGTACGCATTATTGCTTTCAAAAAATATTTCAATTGTGTTAGATAGCGCTATATATATTTTGTAACTTATCAATTAATTAAAAACTTGTTAGATATTGATGACCAAGCATGTTAAGAAAAATATTATTAGGTGCTATATTAGAAGTGAAAGAAATAAAGATAAATTGGGCAATTGGTAAGCAATTTCGTTTTGTTCTGAAACGCATTTGTTGCACTAACAATACAACAAAAAACCAATGACGAAATAAATCCAATTTATTAAACGCACAGTCCGATATTGTTTCGCCTCGACGATTTCATATGAGAAAGTAATCCTGAAAAAAAAAAACAAAAGAATTTAAAATAAGAACCACATAGAGTTGTAAAACAGTTGCATAATGACAAAAAACAAATAGTATATTAAACAATAACTTAACTACAAAGGAATACCGATAATGGAAAAAAATAATACGACTGCATTACAATAAAAGGTGACGCATGATATATGCATAAGAAAAATTTAAAAACAGATCTGCAAATATAGTGCAAGATACAAGTATCAATTTCTTATTCCAAAAAGCATCTATCAATGCAATTTCGTCATATTTATGTATTAAGACGGAAAAGTGATACTGTGCCGCTTGAAAAAGTGTGGCGGAGCGCGGCAATCTGAAAAAAGCGGCAAAGAAATTTTCGCTCTAAATTTAAACAATATTTTTTCTACGATCATACTTTTTTAAGAAATAGATCCAAAAACTAAAAATTTGTCGAAAGTACTGAATAATGTGTTCCCTATACCTACGTAAATCATGAAAAAAGCAGTTGATATTCAGATTCCATGTTAACACGTTAAGTGCCAACTACGAGATAATTCGTAGATTGCGTTCTTTTCTAGGACGTAATATGTTTACTTGCCATGTTTGTGCAGCTACGATTAAACTCGAAATATATCAGTGCTAATATAGATAGATGGCTTCTGGGAAAAGAATATAAAATCAATGCATGGCTTGCATTAATAGAAAATTTATTAAAAAACGAACAAAAAATATAATAAAAATTAGTTAATATTCAAGAAACAAAATAATATTTTATTGTTTGTGAAATTTCTTAAAACAATCTTCCATATAAAGGGCTGGCTTCTCTTTACAGGCTAGAAAAAAATTACGCGTTTCTCGGCGTTTATTTGCTTGGGTACATATACGACATGGCTTTGACGGACGCAGTTTTTTTTTTTTCGATAGGTAGAGCTCTTGCAATTTAATTTAATTTTTTTCGAAACTGGTTGTATCTCTTCTCCAATCAACGTGACGACGAATTCTTCTCTGAACTTTATCAGTTTTATTTTAGAAGAAGTTACTTTTTGAAAAATTTGGTGAGCATTGTGTATATACAGGGTGTCCCAAAATTAGACGGTCATATTTTAACAGCGTAATCTACATCCTAAAATAGGAGTAAAAGTTTATATAAACATAGGTCTGAAAACGTTTTATTTCCGAGATACAGGGTGTTGAAAGTGAAGTCCTGATGGCACATTTTTGTAAATATTTTCTAAAATTTCTTTACTCACCGGTTTTCCAAAGTTAAAAAACAAAATTTCTGATTCCACAGGCCTACTAATTAATGTTTACACTTTTGAATAAAGTAACATCAACTTTTATGAAATTTTCAAATGCTTTTCTCTTGAAAATGGTGCGTCCTAGCGAAATGCAATAAAAGTAGCTTTTTTATAGAGAGAACATTGGTTTTTCAAATTTTATAGTCAAAAATGTTAAAAACTGTCAACAAAAAAACCTTTACCATACGCCCGCCACTCCTAATTTACCCACCTATGAAGATGATCAAAAACTGAGGTTTAGTCCATTAAATAGAGCGTTTAAAGGTAAGCATTTGTAGCAAGTTTCACTTTAAACGTTTAGAAAATATTTACAAAAGTGTATCATCAGAACTTCACTTTTAATACCCTGTATCTGGGAAAAGAAACGTTTTCGGACCTATGTATATATAAATTTTTACTCCTATTTTAGGATGTAGATTACGCTGTTAAAATATGACCGTCTAATTTCGGGATACCCTATATATGTAATAAAACCTTTATGGGCCATCTAATGGTTTTTCTTAGAAATAAGTAGTACGAAAATTCTGTTTCATAGAATTTTTTCCATTGCGGTTGGGCACCTCTACCATTTCAACAACATGCATGTTTGAAATGATAAGGACATCTCCTTTGTCTTTTAATTTGCAAAAAGTAACAGGACCATTTTGCTGCCAAATACACTCCTCCTCTTTAAATTTACGATTTATCACCCTGGGGTTTCCTTTTCTGTTATTTCGTAGGGTTTCACACACATAAGTTTTTCGTTTATTTAGCAGTTTTGTAAGAGTAACAGAATTATAAAAATTAACCGTGTATCCTTTATCGGGATAGTCCTCAGATTTTCCGCTGCAAATCTTTATTTTCATTACAAGACCGTCGGACTCGCATAGTTCATACAGTTTGATATCATATGTGTGTTTTTTATTTTTTATGTATTGGCGGAAAAGCAATCTTCCCCGCCATAGCATTATGGATTCGTCAATACCAATATTTTTATCTGGTACATAGTTTCCACGCACAATATTATTGAACTTATTTAGTATTAGTCTCACCTTGTATAATCTGTTGGCAGATGGTATTGAGTTATTAACCAAATCAAAATAATAAAGTAACAACTGGAATCGATTTCGACTCATATGTGAGTGCCAAAAGTTTACATTATATAGCTTGTTTTTGCTCCAGTAATGTTCAATTAATGGAAAAGTACAAGGTCCCATTTTCAACAAAAGTCCAATAAAAACTTTCATCTCTGCAGCACTGACGTCTTGCCACATTGATGACCTATAAGATTTTTTATTGCCTTGCGTTTTTCAATTTCTTGCGCAGCATATAAATTAGTTTGTTCCACCAGTAATACAAGAAATTCTTCGAAAAAAATAGGTCCACCAGCGTTTGTACTGTAAAACTTGTATCCAATTTTACACCAATATTTTCTTGGAAAATAAATAATTCAAGATTTTGTTGAATTTCTGACCACAAATTATCATTCGCATTTGATGTTGTTACTTGGGAATCATCGTCATTATCTTCAGTTTAGGGATTAACTTCAGGTTCGGAGACGACTTCATCTTTACTATCACTTGGATTTTCAGAAGGTTTATATTCGCTACTGTCGTTACCATTCTCGCCAAAAATTCCGTAAAATTATGAATCACTTTGATTTGCGTAGTACTCAATTTCATTTTGAGTCAGTGGTCTTTTCTTATCCATATTGGGTTCTTGATAATTTAAATAAAACAATAATTATAAAACAAAACACTCAAGAAAGACGTAAACGTGTGCACTCGACAATTTCTTAGATACTACTGACGAATTATTCTCTATACAGATGCGATCGAAGAGACCGTCGCGGTGGAGGTGTCTGTATTTATTACTCTTTGCACTGAATAATTATTACTGAGTAGAGTTTTTCTGATGATAGTTGACAGTGTTTTCTGATGAATAACAGTTTTTGTTATGTTTTGACTGCCAGATTCATTCCTTTTTATTTCTTTTGCAATTTACAATAAAACGTTATAAACATCGTAATTGTATGAATATTTTTAGATAAAGTACAAAAAAATGGTAAATAAAATGAGTACTATAGTTACTTACATCTGGAGCTTCGGTGTAGTAGCACTGATGAGTCAACCAAGCATTTTCACACGGAGAACTACCTTCTATAAAAAAGGAAAAAGATAATATATTTACCAGAACCAAAGAAAAAATTAAATTTAAAAAGATACTACACACAGAGTGGGCTACCGATACTGACAGTTTGAGTTTCTTAATAAATTTGAATTATAATCGAAAAAGGTAATAAATAATGTTTTTATAACCAATATTTTTTACTGTTTTCCAAAAATGTATGGAGATACATTATTTATCCATATTAAGAGCAAATTTTTGAACCTATTTTTAGAAAAAACTAAACCTATTTTTTACTGGGAGACACTGGCTAAAATGTTTGTTTTTTTGTAAATATTAATTGATTTTCCCAATAGCAAAAGGCAGGTGTCAAAATAATAAAAAAAATTTTGATATATAATTGAACTAAATTTCAAAATGAAGTATTATACGCATACTGTTCCCATTTAAACATTTTTTTCCTAATGGCGAAACTATGTCAAATTTAATGATTACATTACTAGATAGTTATGAGATCTAACAAATAATTATGATAGTGAAATACCTAAATCAAACTTAAAATCTAGTCCTCTAACCTACCTATCTTCATAATTTAGTAATTCCATTTTATTAAAGAAACGTGGCATTCTTATTAAAATCAAATTCCTTCATTTTTATGAAAAATCTTTTAGATAATTAAATCTTATTTATGATGCCTAATAAATAAAAGCAATATTCGTGTTTGCGGGGTCTCTAATATTACCAGAGAAGATAAAAAGTTATCCCATGAGAATTCGACCCAAAAACCTCTTCTCAGTAACGTATCTGTAACGTAATTGGCAATGGCTGTGACTAAGCGCAGATTCTGTTTAGTCATAGTCAAGTATTTGTTTGTTGCAATGTTGTCAGGATAACTTAAGAGCTCCATGGCAACTCTGCAGTTTCTTGTTTCATCCCATCTTTCCTTGAATTTCACAAGGGAATGTTCTTTAATTAGGTCTGTCACTACCGATTTTGTCAGGTCAATAGAAGGGCCAGATCCAAAAGTATTTGGTTGGCTCCTTTCTTGGCTAGTGAATCAGCAAGACGGTTACTTTTGGTTGTGGCGTGACCTTTGATCCATCTTAAGGTGACTACATTGTTGATGGATACTTCGGCCAAAGCTTTGTGACATTCTAGTACTAATCCTAAGTAAATCCGTAGTCTGTTCAGGGTGAGTAGTGCCTTGTCTGCTATTTGTATAGATGAGCATGTTCCTTCTAGTGATGTTTTTGGTGATTTATTTTACTGTTATGAGAATCCACGTTAGCTCTGTTTGAACTACACTGGCACTATTGCTTTTAGCCAATTTTATTTTTAGGTTTAAGAATCTGGAGTATATTCCACATCCTGAGCCTTGTTTTGTTTTAGAACCGTCGGTGTAGATATGAATCGTATCTGCCACTTCCGGCTCTTTTATTTGTTCTATTATAACTTTTTATGGCTTACGGAAGATATATCTCGGATAGAAATACTTCTTTTCACGAAGCAATAATTATTGAAACAATTAACGTGTTTATCTTAAGTAAGTTCAAATATTAACACCGATTTCGACATTATATCGACACAAGATTCCGAGAATTTCTCAATGCACGTAATAAATCTACCACTTTATTTTTTATCCACCCAAAATTTGTCCCACCGGAGTAACGACACAAATTTACGTCACAAAAACTCATTAAAACGGGTATAAATACCTAACTTCGGAAATGTAAGATGCATTATTATAATAAATCCAGTCTAATTCAGTTGCCTTTCAAATTTAGTTATATTTCATGTTCAGTATTCGACATCTTTCCTAAATCGACGCTCTTCCCAACCGACGCTTTTCCTACTATACCTCATATCGATGCTTTTACGTCCCGACGAGCTACCTCCCGAACGATTTCACATCCTGACGCATAACGTCCCTTTTGCCCTACTTTCCTTCCTATCTACGTTGCGGCGTTCTACGTCCTGACGATCTATTCTCCGAATTATTTCATGTCTTGATGCTCAACGTCCCTCTGTCCTGCTTGCTTACCTTTCCACGTCCCGACGACCTATATTCCGAACGCTATCACGTTCTGACGATCAACATCCCACCATTCTTCTTCACGAGGCTTGCCGCCCCGAAAATCTACCTAAATATTTCCTTCATAATACCCGTGACGACACCCTTCGTTGCGCAGCACTTCCTAAGTATTTCCCACCTTATATCCGTTTCGACGCAGTACCGTAACAAAAATCTTCCCGTTACAATGCTAGATAAAATTAATAAATAATGTCTTGTATATACAAACCTATTTTCAATTGTGAGATAAAAAGGTTAATGTAAACTTTATTTGAGATATCACCTGAATTTCGTTTGAATAATATATAACTCAATAAACTAGTTGATCTTCGAGAATTTACTCCAAAAGACAGTTAAGTTAGACATCTGTTATTCTATGGGTGAATTTGTATAACTTCAGTAAAAAATATAAAAATCTAGGGTTACTTATGCACACAAATCTAAGCAAATCTAGATAGTGAAATTTAATAGTTAGGTGGTCAATCGACAGTATTCGTTAGCTCAAGATCGGCACCTATACTAGCCATCCATTCTACTAGGTTTAAACCATAAAGTATAATATGTCAACATCAATACAGTAAGTTAACCAACTGACGAATTGGCACTGTTCGTAACTCTGTTGGTCATCACCTTTACACTCGCCAAAATAAATATATAAGAAAATACAATCCCGTGTAGATCTAGGATAGAATCAAGCTAAATAAAATATTTCTTATTAGCAGATAAACTTGGCCCGCATTTAAGCAACTCTTAAGTGGGATCTCGGTAAAAAGTACCTATTGTAATATATTTCACAAATTATTACGTTACATTTTTAAAATATTAAAAATAAAAGGGTTTAAATATAAATTTAGTATGGTTTTAATTACCAATTTGCACCAAACTTTGCATCGAATCCTAGTTTATTTTAATTACCATTATCACAACGTGGGTATATAAATTATCAATTAATTAACTAAACGATCACTATTACTAGAGGAAAAAGGCCAAATTCAGTAAGTATAGAATTGAAAGTAAAACAAAATTGAGAGGTAAAAAACAAAATTTCAGATTTAAACAAAAATCAAAGAGGTATGGGGTGTGCGGTTACAGTCCTAAATAAATTTTAGTATAATTGACGACCGGTTTTGGCTAATTAGGCAATCAGATAGGTATTACAAATTGGCATAAAGCTCTACCTAATAAAATTAAATAATTAAACATACCCTAGGTTCTATATTACTTAACATTGGTTTATAAAATTTAAATGGTTTAATTAAGAACTTTAAAACTCATTAAATTTTTAGTGGAGAGGTCCTTGAAGAAGCATGTGGTGCGGATTATATTCTAAATCAAATTATTATAGAAATGTTCTTACATTTTAAATAATGTGGCTGATTGAAGTATAAATGGTAGATATTTTATCCATGTTAACCCGGCGACGGTGTGGTGGGGTATCACATTTTGATTTTAAAATGAAACATGACCTTTTTACATAAAATTTAATGTTTTGTTTTGTTCTTTGGTATGGATACACAAAGAAACTTTACTGTTGATTGAAAAACTTATAGTTTTTTAGATATAAAGTAAGAAATAATTTTTATCTACGTATGTACACATAATAAATAATACATTTTTGTTTTAGTTTTATCATGTCTGGTTCTTATGAGTGCGAACAGAAGCGACTATTGTCTATGTGTCAAGATATTCAAGAAGAAGAAGTTGCTATTGGCTCAGAGAGTAACAAAGAATCCCATAAAGAGCTCAGCAATCACAGTTCTGAAAGCGAAGAAGACGCAGATGATGGCCAGATTGGTACTGAAAATGAAGACGTACAAGATGAACAAAAATCAAATAGTCAATCAAAATGAAGATGCACAAAGTGAACAAAATGAAGCAAGCTCTAGATTGTATCTAGGAAAGGAAGGCACCAGATGGTCTGCATATCATTTCCCTAAAAATGTAAGGACCCGCTCTGAAAATATTATAACCCATTTGCCCGAGGTAAAAAGAATGGCTAAAGACGCTAAAACTCCAGTTGAATGCTTCGATTTACTTATTACTCCAGATATGATAAATGATATCGTAATGTGGACAAATGTAAAAATAAGAAGGAAATCTGCCTCTTATGACGAAAATCATCAATATATTGTCAAGGAAACAGATGCGTGTGAGATAAGAGCATTGTTTGGGAGTATGCATATCTGCTAGACTTAATCTTGAAGATCTATGGTCAACAGATGGTACGGGGATAAGTTTGTTTAGAGAAACAGTGTTTCTACAGAGGTTTATCTTTCTGCAGGCCTGTTTACGTTTCAACAATATAGAAAACCGAGAAGAAAGAAGAAAAATTGACAAAATGGCTGCAATTAGGGCAGTTTTTGATCAATTCGTACATATCTCTCAAAATTTGTATACACCTAGCGAGTATCTTACTATAGATAAAAAGCTAGAAGCTTTTAGGGGGCACTGTGCTTTTAGACAGTATATGCCAAATAAGCCGGCTCGCTATGGGTTGAAAGTATTAACTCTAGTAGATGCAAAGTCCTATTACGTTCTTAATTTAGAATTATACGTTGGTTTACAACCAGAAGGACCATTTCAGTTGAGCTCCAAACCTACGGATGTCGTCCTTAGACTAATAGCTCCTATTTCCGGTATAAAACGGAATATAACATTCGACAACTGGTTTACCAGTTACAAGCTTATGCTGCGGCTTTTACAAGAACATCAGCTAACGTCAGTTGGAACTGTTAGAAAAAAAAAAACAAAGATACCTGCGAGCTTTCTTATGTCTAAAGATAGACCGGAATGTTCTTTGAAATTCGGCTTCCAGAAAGATGTAACCTTAGTATCACATGTTCCCAAAAAAGGAAAGGTGGTTTTTCTCATGTCCGCTTTGCATCATTCTCCAAAAATTGATGAAGAAACTGGTGAAAAGAGAAAACCAGAAATTATCACCTTTTACAATGCGACTAAGGGCGGCGTTGATATTGTCGACGAGCTATCAGCCGCATACGACGCAATAGTAAAAGATAGCCACTGACTCTTTTCTACGCTATTCTAAACTGCGCAGAAATAAATGCTAGAATTATTTTTAATTTAAACAATGGCAATACTGCTATGAAAAGAAAAAAATTTTTGAAAACCTTAGCAATTAAGTTATTGATTGGGCACAAGGAACGAAGATCAACCAATAAACGGCTTCCGCGTGAATTACAAACAAACGGGTCTCTACCAGAAAATGAAGAACAACCTAAAAAAAGGCGTAGAGTATCTACCAGGTGCGAAATATGCTCAAGAAAAAAGACAGGAAGACGTTCCATAGCTGTGCTGGCTGTAGGAAGGCAATTTGCATGGAGCATTCAGTAGTTTTTTGCGACGCCTGTAGCCTCAGCAGAAATGAATAAACTGAACTTTGTTTCTTTTAGTGGTTTGACTTATATTTTTACTGTAAGAAAACTATATTTTTGTTATTATTTCTTTATTTTTCTAATACTTAGACCATGTTATTGATCTGAGTGATTTTTTTTGTTGAAAATGCCGTATTTATGAATTATGTTTTTTTATGATGTTCTTTTTTAATAAACATCTTTTTAAAAATAAGTTCTTATTCAATACTGCCTAAATAACCAAAAAAAAAAATAAAAAACTTCAAAAAAATAATATTGTATAATTTTTTTGTTTTTTTTTTGCTTTTGGGGTATGTAATACCGCACCGCACAGGTCCTTATCAAAATTTCCACCACACTGTCGTCGGGTTAAATATCATTTACAAATAATATAAAACTTTTAAAATGCATTTTTAAAAATATTGCTCTGAATTACTAAATTTTGTTTATTTTGTCCATATAAACTCATTCTATGACAAATATTTAAGATCTGATTGTACAATTTTTCAAGTCTTTTATATTAGTTCATAAGCCAATAATGAAAATTTTACATACTTTTGGTTCCGCATTTTCTAATTACTGGCGCTGCTTTATCTCGATACTCTTCCGGTAAAACTGCTATAGTAGCTTCTTCATCAATGATGCCATCGTCTTCTATCTAAAAATTGATTTTTATGAACAATTGTATGTATACATTTTGAAAATTTATTATATGTTAAATTAGTTGAACACCACTAAAGTTATCATAGGTTATGTTCAACCTTGGTCACTAAAGTAGACTTAGTGACAAACAGGCATTAATTTGAAAGAAATATAATTCGTAATGAACTCAGAGCAAACCAAATAAATATTAAATAAAAAAATATGTACTAATAATAAAACTAAACAAACTAAAGTAGTAAAAGTAAGAAATAGTGGATACATTTGAGAAAAAATTGAAGAGCAGTAACATCGTTATTTTCAGTTATATTATTTTTCATTTACTCATATACTTCAAATTATTTGTTGTCAGTCTTTATAAGTTTACCTATATACAAATGAAGCGAGAATATTTATTTTAGAAAATTAGTAACTTTTTTAAATATCTGTTATATTAAATTTAAGGCAAAAGTGTATAATTAAAATTACTTACACAAGCCATTTGTGCCATTAAACACTTTATATAACATTTAAACTCCTCTTTATCAGCAAAAACACCCTTTCTTGCATTTAAAATGTCATCTGAAAAAATAATATTAAATTAATATTATCTACTTTTTTTGATGGGATATTAAATAAAAGTTGTACAGATTTTAAAATTTTGTTTGTAAACCATGGAATCTCCTAATGTGAAAGTTTAATTAATAAAGAAAAGAAAAACATAAATAGTTTATTAATAATAATACCTATTCACAAAATGGATTCTTTACAATATCAAAAGTGATTAAGCAGATGTTACTAAATATGTTTAATGCCTTCAAATTTACATATAAATTCTTCTAACGTTTCTTATAACTCTTTTCACATGTATTCTTAGATATGCTATTCTTTTGCTTACTTTTGAAGAACTTTATTCATTCTGTAAAACAAAAGGTATCTTTACTAAACTGTATCCCATGTTTTCAAGTAGAAGCTGAATATTCTTAAATCGCCTATCTGCCATTATATGGGATCCAGGAACTAGTTTGTTTAAATACCCAATTTTCATAATAGTTATCACTAATTCTTCTTGGAAATGAAGAAAAAAATAAACAGTAATAAATATTTTTGATAATAAATCTGAATAATTATCTTGAAATAAAACACTTAATTATAAAAATCATGATTCCTATACTATCCTTACTGGTTATAAAAAAGTAAAATACAAAATTAAATAGGTAAACACTCCAATACAAAATAAACTCTTGATTGACACTTAACACTACAAAAGATGACACACACAGTGCTGTTTTATTATTTATTACCATTTTCTTGGTTATTAAATTACTTTTGTGAAACAATGAAATTAAAAATATGATAAAAAATTAAATATAAATACTATTAAAAACATTTGATATTTTTTATTTGAAAGATCTATAAATCTAAAATTAAGAAGCTGGATACAAACAAATATATATTACATCTCGTATACCATCTAACGATCAACGTTCTAACGCTACTTTGTATTGGTCCGTTCCCGGCTACGTCATACATTAAAAAAAAATAACTCTGGCAAATGAATAATTAAAAAAAGTGAGCAATTTAGCTTTATTTTAAACGGCACTTTTTATAAAAAATTGCCCAAATTTTTAATCATGCCTCCCATTCCTGAAATTATTCGGCCATTCTCTGGCAACTCCCGAAAAAATTTAAATTGTATTATAAAGAAGTTCTTCGACTCTTTGTTGTGATTGTCCGTGCTTGCAAGTCACATAACTTTCAAACATTATACCAATGCTATGGTTAGTTACTTAAGAAACGTATCAAAAATTAACTAACTTTGGAGCACTAGGTAAAATATTAATTAAAAGAATAGGAAAAATACAAATATTTATCAGTTGTAAACTGTTTAAAATATAAACATATTCATGTGTTTATATATTTGCTTTTATGCATGTGTTGTTATAAATTTGATATATTTTTGCTGATGTTTTTTTCTAATAATCTTTAGGTTCAAATAATTATTATTTTAAGCAACTTCTAACTGATAAAAATGTATGAATAATCTGTTTCACATTTGTTATACGCAAGCGAAAATAATTTTATTAATATAATCGTATTTTCTTAAATTACCATCTTTAGTGCCTGTCTCTTCTACACATGTTGCATGCAGCATATCCGCCAACTCCTGCATTTCTTCGCTGAGTGCCTAAAAACAACTTTTTTGGTCAATAAAATTATTTTTAGAAGGCATTAGATTTTATTTATTTTATCAGAACAGTTTATTATTAAAAATTGTGTCGACTTTTTGAGTGTATTATTGATTTATAAAGATTGACTATCAGAAAAATTTCATAAGTCAGCAAGAGCATGTCCACTACAACACTGTAGATATCTAGTGCCTCTAATTCCTTTTTTAATCAAGGACAAGGACAAATTTTGTTATAGAAAAAACCTTTTCTTAAATCAACTTACAGCAACTAAAAAATATTATTAAAAAAAAACTTAAAACATTCAGAAGAAACTGTCGATTAGAAAGTTTAAAATTAAAGATACTATAGTTGAATACCAAAATAATAGACATTAATTTAATGTGAGAAGAATGCTGTTATACGAGGTGTGGCAGAAAAGTAATGAGACTGATTTTTTACATTACAAAGTTTTTATTTCGTTCAAACATCAGTGTTATCCCTTGGGTAGCTACACACCGATGGAGACGTTGTTCCCACTGTTCGTAGCAGTGCTGGAAGTCTTCAACCGTTATGATTTTCAGCATGTCCGTTACAGTCTTTTGGCCTTTAAGGACATTTTTCAGTTTAGGAAAGAGGAAGAAGTCACAGGGACTGAGGTCAGGGGAATAAGGGGGGAATAAGGGGAACCACAGGAATGCCTTTTGAGGTCAAAATTCTGTTATGGAGAGTACAGTGTGACATGGGGCGTTGTCATGATGGAGCAACCATTTCACTGTAATGTCCGATCTCACGCGAATGACCCTTTTTCTGAGCCTTTCAAGGACGGCTTTACGAGTCTATGACTTATTCCTTTTGCATAAACTGAAAAATGTCCTCAAAGGCCGTCATTTCGGGACTTTAGAAATCCTCAAAAAGACTGTAATGGACATTCTGAAAACCACAACGGTTAAAGACTTCCAGCGCTGCTATAAACAGTGGAAACAGCGTCTTCATCGGTGAGTAGCTGCCCAAGGGAACTACTTTGAAGGGGATAACATTAATGTTTGAAAGTAATAGAAACTTTGTAGAGTAAAAAATATCATTACTTTTCTGCCACACCTCGTATGTCATTGCGTCAAAGTTTGAAGAAATATCTAGAGGTTACAGGACAAGGATTTTTTTTTTCAGTGATTGGCATATATTGCACCTCTGTCGGCATTTTCACACATTATTGGCATTAAATTATTGTCTATTATTTCTGTAATCAACTGTACTTGATTTTCTAAAATTGATTGAAAAGTTATCAATAAAGTTATTTCCTGTAGTTCTCCCGCAAATTATGGGTTCCTTTTTTATAAATGATTGTAATCACTAAAGTATTTCTTTGGTATAACATATACAGAATAAAAAAATAAGTAAAGCTTTCCTCAACAGTTACAACAAGAACTTTCTCTAGTTTTATTTCTTTAGTATTACTTTGAGGTAATTTCGCAGTTAATTCTAAAAATTGTGTATTTTAATCTTTCATATTTAATCTCAATGACCTCCTGTCCTATATTTTTTCTATAATCACATGTTTATAATTAGTACAATGTCCATAATAATTAATCAATATATTCTCAATTCTTAATAAAATATGTTTGTAAATAAATAACTTTTTCTTATTTCAACGATTTCTTGTTATCTTTACGGAAATATTATGCGTTATTCACTTACCACAACATTACTATCCAAAAACAATAATCCAAAAAAACATAAAATTAATCCTGTTGTCATTATCACTTTTAACGTTTTTTTATCTTGACCATAACTGAGAAATTATTACAGGGAATAGGATTTTATATTACTTCCTAGGGTACAATTATTATAAGTAACAATTTTAATTACTAGTTTTTCGCGTCACGTCAACCATTGAACACGTTTTAAAACGAAGCAATATTTCATTGTTTTGCATATGTGGATTGAGTGAAAAATGGAGGTAATATTAAAGATGATATTAAAACAGGTAGGTACATGAAAAGGAGTTCGTAAAAAAGTATTTTAATTAGCAAGATGGTAGAAAAAAGTTCCTTTTTATTAGTTACCGGTTCTTTAGGCACACCATAACATATCCATTATGGTTTAAAGCTACATAAGTTTTTATAAATATATAATAATATAAGGCCCTTGTTAAAAAATTACTTAATTGAATTTAAATGTAAAAGTTGAAAAAATTAATCCAATAAGATTTTAATTTCCTAAAATATTTTGGCGCTATTTATATGTGGTACTTATAATAAATCATATTTTAAAGCATAAGAATTTTAAACTCCAAATTTTGGATTTTTGATTTTCGATTTTTAACCAATTAATAGTTTGAACCAGTCGTTATAAATCTAAAATTCAAATTTTGAAGTTAGGTCAGTTCTGCTGTGAAGTGACGAATGTTTTTTTAAATTTCCTGGTTTGCTGTAATATTCTTGTAGTTGAAAGCGAAATGGAAGACATATTTTAATTTTGTAATGAATCAATAGAGATTTCAAAAATTATTTTTTTTTCTTTTTATTTGTTATAAAGGAAAAACCAAACCAAACAATAAACTAATAAAACATTCTGTCATCTAAAAACTAATTTTTTTTCTTGATTTTATTGCGGCATTTTCTTTTATAAAATAATAAAAATCAATTTTATTAAGGATCTGTTGCTCTATAGCTAAGAATGACAAAAAAGATAATCTTTCTTGTAACTTGGTAGACTTCAAATCATTAATAATTATTTTTAATTTTGTGAATGATCTCTCACCAGAAGCTACAGACCCAGGTAAAGTAAGTAATATTCTTAATGAAATGGTAATATTTATTAAAAATAAAATTAGATTGTTTTTAAATATATATTGTAGAATGTCGAAGGGATTCGACGCTTCAGGGATTGAACGTAATTTAGTTAAATAAATCATTTTTTTATAGCATTTTCCTTCTTTTTCTGATCAGTTAGTTTAATTTGTTGTGGAGCACGGCAACTTTTTAAAAGATTTAATTTAAAAAGATCACTAAAAAAAAAAAAAACAAAAACGTAATCAGATATTATTTCAAATTAACTATTTAAAGAAATTAGTACTTGCTTGCTTGTTTATGAACTTAGTGTTTGATCAATTATTTTTAAAAAGAAACTTATTTTAATCGCTGTTTTTGAATCTTGAGTTGTCTCATCTTTCTGCTAATAATTATTGAACAATTTTGGTTTATAATTTGTACTATTTAACGGAGGAAAAACCTTGCTCTATCTCAAGAGCGGCTGCTCGTTTTTCAGCTTGAGTAAGTTTTTCCTCGAAAATATCACTTTAATTTTTAAAATGAACCAACTAAATTCTTTAAATAGTTTCATCATACTTTAATATCAATCGTTATACTTTGCATTATTTTGCTACAATGCCAATTTGTAACAAATTATTACACAGCAAATAAATTTAAAAAATTGGATACTTAAATAGTAAAGGACTTGCTTTATGACTAGGGTCTAAGTTCAAAGTATCATTTTCTGCTGTTTTCAATAGGTTAACACAAATTTGAATTAGTTGAAATTTTAGCGACCTTACAACATCAATTATACTTTGCTATATAGTATCACTTTAAATTTAACTTGGGGACATGCTTTTTTATAATGGGATGGTCAACTCTACAGAAGATACACTTTCGATACGTGATGATGTTGTTAATGTTAAATTTGTTTATAGCTAACATGTTGCAGAAGATGGTGGTGCCGCTGCTTCAGTAATTGTATTTTTTCCTTCTCCTATCGTTTCAGTATTGGAAACTTGACTTTTTTGCAAGAAATGTTTCATACTGACAGCCGTCTTCTCCCTTCTCCCTTCTCCCTTCTCCCTTCTCCCTTCTCCCTTCTCCCTTCTCCCTTCTCCCTTCTCCCTTCTCCCTTCTCCCTTCTCCCTTCTCCCTTCTCCCTTCTCCCTTCTCCCTTCTCCCTTCTCCCTTCTCCCTTCTCCCTTCTCCCTTCTCCCTTCTCCCTTCTCCCTTCTCCCTTCTCCCTTCTCCCTTCTCCCTTCTCCCTTCTCCCTTCTCCCTTCTCCCTTCTCCCTTCTCCCTTCTCCCTTCTCCCTTCTCCCTTCTCCCTTCTCCCTTCTCCCTTCTCCCTTCTCCCTTCTCCCTTCTCCCTTCTCCCTTCTCCCTTCTCCCTTCTCCCTTCTCCCTTCTCCCTTCTCCCTTCTCCCTTCTCCCTTCTCCCTTCTCCCTTCTCCCTTCTCCCTTCTCCCTTCTCCCTTCTCCCTTCTCCCTTCTCCCTTCTCCCTTCTCCCTTCTCCCTTCTCCCTTCTCCCTTCTCCCTTCTCCCTTCTCCCTTCTCCCTTCTCCCTTCTCCCTTCTCCCTTCTCCCTTCTCCCTTCTCCCTTCTCCCTTCTCCCTTCTCCCTTCTCCCTTCTCCCTTCTCCCTTCTCCCTTCTCCCTTCTCCCTTCTCCCTTCTCCCTTCTCCCTTCTCCCTTCTCCCTTCTCCCTTCTCCCTTCTCCCTTCTCCCTTCTCCCTTCTCCCTTCTCCCTTCTCCCTTCTCCCTTCTCCCTTCTCCCTTCTCCCTTCTCCCTTCTCCCTTCTCCCTTCTCCCTTCTCCCTTCTCCCTTCTCCCTTCTCCCTTCTCCCTTCTCCCTTCTCCCTTCTCCCTTCTCCCTTCTCCCTTCTCCCTTCTCCCTTCTCCCTTCTCCCTTCTCCCTTCTCCCTTCTCCCTTCTCCCTTCTCCCTTCTCCCTTCTCCCTTCTCCCTTCTCCCTTCTCCCTTCTCCCTTCTCCCTTCTCCCTTCTCCCTTCTCCCTTCTCCCTTCTCCCTTCTCCCTTCTCCCTTCTCCCTTCTCCCTTCTCCCTTCTCCCTTCTCCCTTCTCCCTTCTCCCTTCTCCCTTCTCCCTTCTCCCTTCTCCCTTCTCCCTTCTCCCTTCTCCCTTCTCCCTTCTCCCTTCTCCCTTCTCCCTTCTCCCTTCTCCCTTCTCCCTTCTCCCTTCTCCCTTCTCCCTTCTCCCTTCTCCCTTCTCCCTTCTCCCTTCTCCCTTCTCCCTTCTCCCTTCTCCCTTCTCCCTTCTCCCTTCTCCCTTCTCCCTTCTCCCTTCTCCCTTCTCCCTTCTCCCTTCTCCCTTCTCCCTTCTCCCTTCTCCCTTCTCCCTTCTCCCTTCTCCCTTCTCCCTTCTCCCTTCTCCCTTCTCCCTTCTCCCTTCTCCCTTCTCCCTTCTCCCTTCTCCCTTCTCCCTTCTCCCTTCTCCCTTCTCCCTTCTCCCTTCTCCCTTCTCCCTTCTCCCTTCTCCCTTCTCCCTTCTCCCTTCTCCCTTCTCCCTTCTCCCTTCTCCCTTCTCCCTTCTCCCTTCTCCCTTCTCCCATTTCTACACGTATAAATAACAAATAGTGTTTTATATTTACAGGAAACCTACTCAAACAGATCATCTAATCAATTTAAATTATAATCATTCTTACTAGCACAAGGTGTCTGCAATATGATTCACCGCTTACTCAACCTACTGCTTCTTGACTTCAATTTTAATAAACGTATCAAAACAACTAGCTCTTAATAATAACTTTAACCCCTCAATTAATAATAAAGTCAATCAAAAAAGAGATCTCAGCTCTTCTTCAGTTCTTCTAACGATTTTTCAGATAATTTTAAATATGTTTTTTTACCTGTTGTAGGGAATTTTTTTTAAAGATTTCAATAACATCAACATTTCTTGTTATGTGTTTTCTCGATTTATCCTGTAATTGTTATAAACAATAATAAGCCATAAAACAATCTAGAATCTCGTGTATGAAATATATCTAATCGTTTCTATGAATATATATATACTATTCTTCTGACCCCATAAGCGTGGTTAAAAAATTTGTTTTCTGATTTTTGTTAACAGTTTTAATTGACCTTTTCAGATAATTCACTATGGGTCAGCAACTTTGATTTTATAATGTTTTTGTTCTATTTAATAAGACAATGATACATTTTAAAAGAGAACAAAAGACTGACGGAGCGAATTGGAAATTTTAACGTGTATCGGAGGGGACTGCGGCCCGGCTTAGCAGGTTTACTTATAGTGTATCGATACCTGCTGTCAAGTTAGGCTCAGTGAAAGTCGATGTATGTCCTACTGCTCGCTTAGTTGCGTACCACAGCGGGCAGTCGTTATATCAATGGGTACGAGGTATAGCGAGGGATGTGCCATCTTTTCGAAGGAGATGTAAAGCCGTCGGTCCCGAGTCCATCGATGTTGGGCTCTCTATCTCTGGTTGGAACAGTAGGGAATTCGGCTAAATTTCTGATGGTAGCATGCTCATGAGCGTCGATGTTTAAACCTCGTAGTTAGAAATAGGCCGAAGTTAAATAAATGTATCGCAGCTATAAGCAAACATTTCTTTTTTTAGGTGTAACTTCTCACGGGCTTGACTCGTATTTTCGGCTTTGCCTACGTTAAAAACATTTTTTGTGGATCACACTTTACATAATTTGTTAGATTGTTAATTATTTAGAGAAAAGTTTGGTTTTATGGGCCTTTCATATTTGGGACCTAATAACATCACTTTTCAAAACTAGAAGAACTGTTTAAGATGTCTATACTAATATTAAAAACTACATTTGAAAAATAAAAAATAAATTCGTTGTTTTCTAGCAAAATACCATTACAAACAGAAAGCAATTTATTTCATTGATTTATGCTGTGGAGCACATTAGTACAATTATTATTCACATGTAAATATAATTGTACCATTCAGAATTTTTAGCACTGTGAGACAATATTGATTATACGCCAAGAAGCTTCATTATTAACATCAATAAATATAAACTTACACATCCCTGGTGTTTTTCTTAAGCATCTGACCTAAAACTTTGTTGAACTGTACTTTTCAATGACTTCTCCAAACACAGTAGACAGTGCTTGCCTTTTTAAAGAACTTAAAAAACAGAATGTCAAACTTACCAAATTTTTACTGTCGTGTGAGCCATTTTGAACCAGTCCAGTTCTGCCTTCGTTTATGCCAACTCGTCTGCTGGTAGTACGCATTACTCAATGCCGTGACCACGGCAAAAATATAGCGTTTAGATCATCTGAAAACTACGAGAATCAGTGCCGTTCACCGCATTTTTTATATAGTAAAAAAATGTAGAGAGGACGGCATGGTCTCGCTACCGTCAGCTGAATTAAACGATTAAGCGAAGGGTTAAAATCGTTCACGTTTATTTAAAATATCCGAATACACATTTTTTACGTAACATTCTTTGTAAATTCCCAAATACATTCTTTTACATTTTTAACCCCAAAAGTGAAAGCACATTCAATGAAAACTTGAAGAAAACTTTGTCCAACTAAGAGATTTGAACCCTATTCGTATTCTGAGTACACTTATTCGTATTCTGAGTACACTGCCATGCCAATTTGGCTATCAGGACATTATACGTCCGTAGTTTTTATAATTTATTCGAATATAGGATTCCACTATTTAGCATCGTCTCGGAAAACACGCTGATGCATGCAGAACCTCCCCTAAGTCATCTGGCCGAAATAAGGTTCGTAATTATAAACAGGTCTGAGCTGAGTCGGACTTGCCTAAGACGTCCTTGAACGAAAATCGAAGTTCGGTTATATCGCGTAAATTTAGAGATGGGTGGTAACAAATCTGTAAATGTACTTAAAAGTTACAGATTTGCTATTTTCCATCTCTAAATTTCAGTGTAATACTGGAACCACCTGGAACTCTAGAGACGTTATAACCGAACTTTGATTTTAGTTCAAGGACGACTTATCCAAGTCCGATTCAGCTAAGAACTGTTTATAAATACATGCCAAAGTCTCCGTAAATAGGTAATAACGTAAGCACATGTCAATAAAAAATATTTTTTGTAGTTTTCAAAACTATATCCAAAAACATTTATTTTTTGCTAAAATTATTATTTATTTTGATCTTCTCCTGGTTTTGTATTACATGAATATTTTCTTATTATTTTTTATTTCTTGTAATCTGTATATTTAAGTTATTTAGATTTTTATTATTAATTAATAAATAATTTTATAATAATTCGTTGAGGACAATTCGAGAACACTTAAAAAATAGATAATCTTTATACTAGCGATGTAAGTTTATGGAAACAATGTTGAAAACTATATCAAACAACAATAAAAAATATTTATTTAATACACTTATAAATATATTTTACAATGATGCCACAAATTTATAAAATAAAAAATCAGTAAAAGTTATAATATGTCACCAAGAAATCAGGAAAAATAATTGTGTTTTACTACGGTAAGAAGAATGCCTGAAAGAGAAATTAGTTAGTTTTAAAAATATTTAATAAATACATTATACATCAATTGAATAAGAAATCATTTTAAAACAAAAATAGAATAAAAGATCTATAAAATGCAGTAAGTCAGATTTTAGTCACAACATCTGAAATAAACATTCACCACGCCTCTATATTGACATAATGTGACATTTCCATCATATATAAAATAGATAAGATAAAATATAGATAAGTAACAATCTGTATTTATTTTACTTCTATTACTTTTAATAATTACTTCTATTACTTCTATTACTTCTATTACTTCTATTACTTCTATTACTTCTATTACTTCTATTACTTCTATTACTTCTATTACTTCTATTACTTCTATTACTTCTATTACTTCTATTACTTCTATTACTTCTATTACTTCTATTACTTCTATTACTTCTATTACTTCTATTACTTCTATTACTTCTATTACTTCTATTACTTCTATTACTTCTATTACTTCTATTACTTCTATTACTTCTATTACTTCTATTACTTCTATTACTTCTATTACTTCTATTACTTCTATTACTTCTATTACTTCTATTACTTCTATTACTTCTATTACTTCTATTACTTCTATTACTTCTATTACTTCTATTACTTCTATTACTTCTATTACTTCTATTACTTCTATTACTTCTATTACTTCTATTACTTCTATTACTTCTATTACTTCTATTACTTCTATTACTTCTATTACTTCTATTACTTCTATTACTTCTATTACTTCTATTACTTCTATTACTTCTATTACTTCTATTACTTCTATTACTTCTATTACTTCTATTACTTCTATTACTTCTATTACTTCTATTACTTCTATTACTTCTATTACTTCTATTACTTCTATTACTTCTATTACTTCTATTACTTCTATTACTTCTATTACTTCTATTACTTCTATTACTTCTATTACTTCTATTACTTCTATTACTTCTATTACTTCTATTACTTCTATTACTTCTATTACTTCTATTACTTCTATTACTTCTATTACTTCTATTACTTCTATTACTTCTATTACTTCTATTACTTCTATTACTTCTATTACTTCTATTACTTCTATTACTTCTATTACTTCTATTACTTCTATTACTTCTATTACTTCTATTACTTCTATTACTTCTATTACTTCTATTACTTCTATTACTTCTATTACTTCTATTACTTCTATTACTTCTATTACTTCTATTACTTCTATTACTTCTATTACTTCTATTACTTCTATTACTTCTATTACTTCTATTACTTCTATTACTTCTATTACTTCTATTACTTCTATTACTTCTATTACTTCTATTACTTCTATTACTTCTATTACTTCAATTACTTCTATTACTTCTATTACTTCTATTACTTCAATTACTTCAATTACTTCTATTACTTCTATTACTTCTATTACTTCTATTACTTCTATTACTTCTATTACTTCTATTACTTCTATTACTTCTATTACTTCTATTACTTCTATTACTTCTATTACTTCTATTACTTCTATTACTTCAATTACTTCTATTACTTCTATTACTTCTATTACTTCTATTACTTCAATTACTTCTATTACTTCTATTACTTCAATTACTTCTATTACTTCTATTACTTCTATTACTTCTATTACTTCTATTACTTCTATTACTTCTATTACTTCTATTACTTCTATTACTTCTATTACTTCTATTACTTCTATTACTTCTATTACTTCTATTACTTCTATTACTTCTATTACTTCTATTACTTCTATTACTTCTATTACTTCTATTACTTCTATTACTTCTATTACTTCTATTACTTCTATTACTTCTATTACTTCTATTACTTCTATTACTTCTATTACTTCTATTACTTCTATTACTTCTATTACTTCTATTACTTCTATTACTTCTATTACTTCTATTACTTCTATTACTTCTATTACTTCTATTACTTCTATTACTTCTATTACTTCTATTACTTCTATTACTTCTATTACTTCTATTACTTCTATTACTTCTATTACTTCTATTACTTCTATTACTTCTATTACTTCTATTACTTCTATTACTTCTATTACTTCTATTACTTCTATTACTTCTATTACTTCTATTACTCCTATTACTTCTATTACTTTTATTTCTTCTATTACTTACTTCTATTACTTTATACATACAATCTAGGTCTTGAACTGACTTGATACTAACTGTTGTCAAATTTTTGAACTGACTAACCTTTACTATTTTGAAAAACGAAGGCATGATGCGGATTTACTATTCTTACTTAAGTTGTTAAATGGTTTAATACATTAATTTGGAACTGCTTACTTTATTTCATTTTAATGTTGGATCAAGAATTAGAAATTGACCATTGTTATATAGAAATAGGCATTAAACAATTTATGGTCGTCGTAATCCACTGAAGATATATTTTTTAATTCATTTAGAATGTTTAAAAGAATAATTCAAAGTCAGAAGAAACGTTTGTTTCTGTACTTGTTTTTAAATTACTTCTCAATATAAACTACTGTTGTGTTTGTTTATTTTAAACAATAGTTTATTTGTTAATAATTTATTTGAACATTTATTTATTTTAAAACAATACTATTCTAATTTATATATTTCCAATGTCTTTAAATTGTTTTCTTCACAACTGTTTGTATACTACTGACCGCTTTGTGTTCCTCCACCATTATTTATACTATTTATATACACATTTAAAATTCTGATGGTGGTCTAGAATGTTGTCGTCAAAACTAGTAACATTATCTCGTTCTTTCTTGAATAGTAATAGAAGCGCTTTCGCCATAGTCGTCACATATGTTTGGTCTTAAGGGGTTTAATTATGTAATATAATCGGTTAAGGAGGATTATAGCATGACTAAATAACGAAATGGCTCGCATTACACTACTTAGATTATTTTTTATATGTTATGGATTTTCCATTAATATTGTTTTAATTTCTTATTTACTTACCTCCTAGCAGTGTATAGTAATGTAAATCTTTTTTTTATTTAAAAAAACTGCATGAGTAATATATTGGGTAAATCAGCTTCATGATAGTAAGATTATAAGTTTTTTTTCTTTTCATCGAAAGTGTAGCACTGAGTTACTTCTGAAAATATCGTTCCATTTATACAAATTGTATGAATGGAACGATATTTTTAGTGTCGAAGCCCAGTGCTATACTTTCGATGGAAAGAAAAATATCTACTATGTTTATACATATTTTTTAACTCTTTTTTTTGCAAATAATACAACAAATTTAATTTAATTTTCGTCGCCTATCATAACAATGTAAGATGGACAAATTTTACTCCACCACAAATTACGATGAAAATATAACCAAACAATAATTAATTGACATGTATCTACCTACAAACAAATAAAAATGAATTGAATAAAATAAAATAAAATTGAAAATAAAATTGAATTACGTTTTTCATTAAATATGTCCTTACAAAATATATAAAAAAAGAATCCAATTCTGATAAAAAAACTATTTGATACGCCTATGGAGAATACAACTGTCAAAAGGTTGTACATATTAGCTTCAAAGTTTATGTTAAACAGTTTCCGTTACTTATCTATATTTCATTTGTTTATCTGAAGGTTTTTGATTTATTAAACTCAATACTCACTATTAAAAAATACTTACCCTTTTGTCACTCTCATAATAACATTTAAGTGTGTTAAAAATTGAATCACACAGGTCAGATCCATCTGAAAAAAAAATCCAATAAATATAAATAATACACATGTATTAGTTTTATGTATTTTACGAACTAATCAAAGGGTGTGTGTAAATACTGATAGCTGAAGAAATTAAATGAAACGTTCAATAGCCGATGCCGAATATATTTTAAAAATCATAAATGTTTAAGAAGAAAAATTCGGTTTTTACTTAGATTCTCTTTTCAAAATAAACAGTTTTTCGAAAAACCACTTAAAGGTGGTAAAATGAAGTAGAGATACTTTTTTAACGACTATTTAATATCTAATAATATCTTAAAAATCGAAGCATTAACAAGTTTTTAATATTTATTTACCTTGAGTTCCACATTTTGTCATAACCGGCGTGGCGATATCTTTTAGTTCCTCTGGAACTATAGCCAAAGCACCCTCAATATCAATCTTGCCATCGTCACCAATCTAGAATATTAAGAATTTTTAAGAGACATTTCGTGATGAAAAATAGTTATTTGTTTAACTAGGCAGAGAAGTAACAGATTTACTGCCGTGGTTAGCCAAGGCAGTGAATCTGATTCTCTGCCGTGCGAAATATAATTTTTTCTCCGATTGTTTGTACAGTGTGATTAAAAAAATCAAATTAAAATGAAAACTTTTTTATAACGGATACAACTCACAATTTTTAATATTTGTTCTTATCGTATGATATAGCTAATAATTAAATCGTATTTTCTAATTATTATTGTCGATTAGACCTTAAATTGTATACATAATAATATCTACCGAAAAATAAGACAGCACTGTTACATTCAATTTGCTTCAATTTTTTTTATCAATTGATTGTCCATGAGATAAAGGTTAGTGGATTCCATAGGCCTGTTTAAATCAAATCCATTGCCGTTGCTAAGTAAAGTCTGGGTTGTTATGTACCTTTTCGGAATTGTTTAGTTGAAAATCGCCATTTTTTATCCGTTTATCTTAAGATTAAGTTGTTTGGATAATAAAATAATTTAAAGTGATGAAGAAATGATAACACCTCCCGAAATTAGAGAATTGGCAAAAGATGCAGAATATAATTTGTTGCCTACAAAATCCAGAAAATTGTATGAAATATGTTATAGAAAATTTATGGATTATCGCAATAACAAGAAAATCGGATCATTTTCAGAAAACGTTTTACTGGCGTACTTTGCAGAATTAGCCAAGAAATTGAAATCTTATTAACAATACTATAGATATATCCAAATATTTAAAACTGCCAGCCTTTTTAAAGCGTCAATCAGAGGTTATCCTGCCAAAAAATCCCAAGTACTGCAGAAATCACAAATTCAGGAATTTTTGTTGGAAGCCCCAGAATATATACCTATCTACGAGGGTAAGAATTAAGAAATGATAAATTTTTAATTTAGTATTAAATAAACAATTTTTTTTATTTTAGGTTGCTTTAATTTTTGGCATAGCGGGAGCATGTAGAAGTGATGAACTATACCGAATGGAAAAAGCTCAAATTGAAGATATGGAGGAAAAATTGTTTATAACTCTTCCTGATACGAAGACAAAAAAATTACGTTAATTTATTGTAGTGGAACATTTAAACAGAAAATATGAAGATTTTAGACCATTAGGCTGGCTACCTAATTTTTTTTTAATACAATAATGGCAAGGCCTACAAACAACCGCTTGGTATCCATAAATTTGGAAAAATGCCAGAAGAAATTGCAAAATTTTTAAAATTACCTAACCCACAAGAGTTTACTGGGCATTGTTTTCGCAGAAGTTCTGCAATATTGTTGGTGGACTCTGGGGCAGATATAACCACGTTAAAAGGACATGGGGTTGTAGATCATCAACAATAGCCGAAGGTTATATTAAAGACTCTATAGCTGCAAAAACAAATGTTAGTGAAAGACTTTTTTCGGATCCCAAAGAACAAAATATCGTCGGTTGTAGCACTAGTTCACAAATAAATAAAAATAATTATACGATGATTACAAAAGGCAAAACGGATTATCAAGCCAGTGGAGTAATGTTGGAAAATTGTTCGCAAATTACTATAAATATTCCCAATAATTATTAATATGTATTATATGTAGAATTTCATCAACTTACATTTTTGTTATGTTCTGTGTTATATTCTGTTTTGATTTAATTATGAATGTAACAGTTAAAATTATAATAAAATTCTGAATTTTGACTTTCTTTTTATAACTATGTACTTATTTTGAACCAGTAAAAGTCATCGCTAATAACGCGACAATTATCCTTATTTTTTAACTTATTTTAAACCAGTTCAGAATGTCCCTAATATAGTTAATTTATTATACAGTGACTACATTTACTAGAGTAACTTTTTTGGTCGGATACTCATGCAGAACAAGATGTCTAGGCATTGAAAATAATTTTACTCCCTAGGCATAAAATAATTTTTTCTGCATAGGCAGTAAAAGTGTTACTTCTATGATCGATAAATGTCACTAAAACTGGCGTTTAATGTCAATCGGAGAAAAAATATTTTTTCCTACGATCACCTAGAAAAGTGACACCTATCGCACTATTTAGCCTTATGGGAAATGTGTGAATAAATTTACTTTCCACTTGTGTATGAATATGAATCTACTTTCCGCATAAGCTGTCAAATAAGTCAGACGTCTAATTTCTATTTTGATTAATGTAATATCCATTTTAATAGTAAAATCGATTTGACAATTAAATTGTTAACATTCATTTTTAAAAATAGATCTTAGACATTTTTTTTTTAAATTATTAAAAGAATTTTAAATTAACTACCTACATTATTTTTCGTTTTCCTGATTCATATACATATTTAACTAGATAAGTCAAATTACAAAGCCGTGATAGCCTAAATGGTTTAGCGCCTGACTTTCTCAACTTGGCATTTAGTGACGCTGGTTCAATTCCCGATTTGTGTATTTTCTTTTTGTTTTGAAAAAACATTAAAAATTACCATAAAAATACAACTAAAATTGTTCATTTATTCAAAATACATGTTATTTATCATGTTATAACCGCTACAATATTTTTGTACTAATTTAACCCGTAATCACAGATGACCTATCTGCGAGACGTTCTCCGAGCGGCCATTTTTTTGTTTTTCCACTCCACGACGAGTTGTGCTATTGGGCTTCTTCTGTACCTTTAAATCAATCAGTTAGAAGCTAACTCCAAAGTCAACTAATACGTATCATAATAATATCAGTGTTAAACATTTTTATTCGTCGAGAAGTGTCTGGTAGACGTCAAGTCTGTGAAAGTGTGACTATTTTTAAATTTAAAATTTTCTTTATTTAAACTTTTTGTTAGGTTTTTGGGATAAATAATAATAGTGTAATATATGCCCTTAAAAAAAGAAAAGAAAAACCTACACTTGTATGGTCTGTAAACGGTAGAAAAAAATATGCAAATACTGCGCCACCTAAAAAACGTGGGAAAGTAGGCGTTGCAGTATTCCACAAAATTGAGTTTTTTTAGAAAAGGTTGTTTTAAAATCATTTATGTTTATATTTTGATATCTCGTTGAGTACCTAAATATTTTTTTGTTTTGTATTTTTTGTTTTTTTTTAACTTGTTATTTTTAAGAATTTCTACCATTTTGTTAATAAATTATACAATTAAATTTTAGTGATATCCTGTTCAATAATACAAACTCCTTAAATCATACCTTAAATCATTATTGTACACTACTGATATTGAAAATTTAAAATTTTATCAAAAATAATTGTTAATTTTATTTTAAAAAAGAGGACGTCATGTTCAGAAAAAAATTGTGAGACAAGAAGTGGGTAACCATTAATAATAAAAAAGTGTTTTTTCACGGTTGTTCTAATATTTTTTGTAATTAATAATATTTTATCTTTATTTTCCTATGAAATTGTTTGTACATGGAATTAATATTTTTAATTTTGATAAAACTATCTGTAAAACGATGTAAAAATTATTTAATAAACCATATAAAAAAACAAAGCTAAGTTTCACATTTTTTTTATAGAATTATTTTGTAAACGTAGGGAAAATATTGTTATTGTTAAAAATCAGTTATTTTTGAGTAGAATCGATAAATAATAACATTTCAATTTCTATTTCGTCCATATTATTTACAAATAAATAATAAATGTTAATCAAATTATATGAAAATAATTTAATTATGAGTATTAAAACAAAAATGGCAAGTGTTTCCATTGAGATGAGACTAGGGCATTAGGCTATTATGCGATAGGCCCGGGTTCAATCAGGGTTAAGGACTAATTAAATTAAATCTTTCTTATGCTTATTTTATTTTAAAAATTAGTAATTGTCAAAAATGATTTTAAAATTAGTTATTTTGTCTTAATAACCTAATATAATAATAAAATATGTAGATTTTCGTTAGTGGGTCGTAGAAAAAAATATACTGTACAACTCGAGTGGATTGTTCATATCCACTCTTATTGCACAAACTACTATTATGTACTTACAATTCCTACTTCATCAAGTACGCACTTCATGTAACATTTTAAAGCGTTATCGTCTGCAAATGTTCCTTCTTTAGCTTTTGCTATTACATCTATAAAAGAAATATATTTATTCTAAATGAAAAATATTAAATTAATCTTGGCGAGGAAATGCGTGGTTGTCGAGTTAAAATTAATTTAATTTTCACTTTAGTTTACCTTAAATCAGTTATGAAGAAACTGTTACCATGGGAACGCTTGTCATCGTATCAACAAATTTGGTTTTTGGTTAGTCGTTACCATGACAAGTGTCCCTGTGGTAACAGTTTCTCTATAACTAATTTTAGCTAAACTGTAGTGAAATTAACTGATTACTTGGCAACTACGCATTTTCCCACCACTGGATTTGGCTTTTTTTTTTACTGGTCACCATGGCAATGTTTGCTGTGGCAACAGTTTTTAAGTAACTGATTGTTAAATGAATGTTAACCCCTAGGCAATTCTCGGAACATAAAATTGACACTTCTGAGTACAATATTCCGAATCTGAACAAATTGCGAATACATGAAGAATATATCAAGATTACATAAAAAGTAGATCAAGAATATATAAAGATTAAATCAAAAATACATCAAGAATACATCAAGAATTCATCAAGAATTCATCAAGAATTCATCAAGAATACATTAAGAATATATTAAAAATACATCAAGAATACATTAAGAATATATCAAGAATACATCAAAAATATTTCAAGATTACATCAAGAATACATTAAGAATACATCAAGAATAAATCGAGAATACATCAAGACTACATCAAGAATACATCAAATATACATCAAATATACATCAAGAATACATCAAGACTACATCAGGAATATTAGACTGATGGAATATAATCTGATATAGCTTTAATAGTACAAGTTGTCTTTGATCAAATATTAAGTTGGAACCATATGGAAAACTTTTTTATTATTGGTTTTGTGAAAAAAATTATTCCTGATAAAAAATTCTGCATGGTCCACAATGCAACTATTAGATATCAATTTGTTTAAGCCGTATACGAGGTTTGTCAAAAATATGATTTTTTCTGAAAAGTACCTTCATTTTTGACAAATCTCGTTCTGATAAAATTTGATATCAGATGGTTGTATTTTAAGTTTTAGACACTGCTCGACTTTTTATAAAGAATAAATTTTTTCCTAATATTAATAATAAAACCTAAAATACACCCATCAGATATCAAATTTTATCAGTCATATACGACTTTTGTCAAAAATGAAGTACATTTTTCTTCAGCAAAAATAATATTTTCCGACAAACCTCGTATACAGCTTAAAAAAATTGATATCCGACGGTTGCAGTTTAAGTTTTGGACCAAGCAGAACTTTTTATCAAGAATAATTTTTTTCACAAAACCAATAATAAAAAAGTTTTTCATATGGTTCCAACTCAGTAAAACATATTGTATATACATGGATAGATTGAGTCTCTATAGAAATTTGAATTTGTATATACATATATTTATTCTCAAAGTCAAGTGTCACGATGAACGTATTATTTGGCTAATATAACAAAAGAAATTAGATTATACCTATAGAATAAAGATTAAAACTATTTTCAGCACTCTAGCTTTTGTTTTGCTTGCTACGGAGAACTCATTATTGGATTGGTTTCGCTCATCAGCAACATACAGACTTCCTCGTTTTCAAATAATTCTGTTTAGTCAATTTCACAATTTTGACACATTTTTTTTAACAACAAATGTTACTTGATAATAAAAGACATGTTAACTGGTTAGTTTCAATAAATGTAATAATGAAAATATATTTACCTTCAGCTACACCAGTTTGCCCAACACATTCTGAATGCAACGAATTCATTAACTGTATCTGTTCTTCTGTCAGAGACTGTAAAATTCAATTTTATTATATAGGTAAATATCATTTTTTGTTTTTCAATATCAAGAGTAACTATTTTTTAAAAAATATTTTTCCTAATAGCTGAAAATCGGTAGTTATTAATTAATAGATGTAACTTATTGTTGTTTCTTCAAATTGAAGGGCTCGGTGCAAAAACCGGTCAACTCCATTTTGTGCCGAATTTTAGTTTTTGGCTTTAATGCATAAAATCCCTAATTATGCATCTATTGGTACAAGAATCAGTCAAATCTAACCTATAGTAACTGAAATATATACGTTGAGGAGTTGACTGAGATAAATTTCGGGGCAAGAAACGGCTACCTCCAGGAGATGACCGATTTTTGCTAATATATTTATAGTTACAATACAGATTCATTTGCCAGTCTATGCTTGTCGTTCTAGCCGTTCGTTTCGATCGTGTGACTTTGTACTGCCGTAGTGAAAAAAATTGGTAAACAAAATGAGTGATACAAGTATTTCAAGTGAAGAAGAACCATTTGTTGACTCCGGTAGTGAATATGTACCGTCAGATCCTGATATCCCAGGTCCTAGCCGGATACGTAAAAGATTGTTTCCCGCCAAAACCCAAAATCGTAGAAACACTGCTGCAAATGAACAGGGCATAGCCCAGGAAAACACTACTGCAAATAAATAGGGCATAGCCCAGGATAATGTGTTGAAATTTAAAAATGGTAAAAAAAAAGTTAAAAACTTAAGTTTTTGGAAAAGAAATAACATTAAGAGAAAAAAAGCGAAGGGAGAGGAGTACATTAACTGGGCAAAATAAAAGGTTCCGAAGAAAACCACTGGACCAAACTGCAACTGTAAAATGAAGTGCCTTACAAAAATAAGTGTTCCCAAAAACTGAGTATACTTAAACAATTCTACGATATGGGCGATAAAAATAGACCAGACACATATTAGGTGGTCTGATAGCAGTTTTGGACGTGCAGCGTAAGCGACCAACAACAGGCGAAGGAAAAGAAAAAACTGTTTCCTATCAGTATAAGGTAACAATAACATAACTTTTACGTACAATAAAAATATATGTTTTATAAACTGCGAAAAATGCTTTTTATTTTTTTGTAACATAAAGCATCTCTTTTTAGATATGTGTCGGAGCTCAAGAAACTAAAATATGTAAAAAGGCTTTTTGTTCGTTACATGCGATTACAAAGCATCAAGTTTCAAGAATAGCTAAAAGTTTAGCTGAAGGCCACATCATGTCCCCATCAGATAAACGTGGAGAACATTCAAATAGGCCAAATAGAATCCCCGAGGAAATAGTTAACCAAATAAATGAACATATTGCAAGTTTTCCGAGAAAAAAGTCGCACTATAGCAGACACGATAATCAGAAAAAATATTTTTTGTCTTCAGAATTAAATATATTTAAAATGTATAGACTTTACCTCGAAAAATTTGAGTTAGAACAACATCAGCTACTGGAAGATGGTAAAGAATACAAAGATATAAATCCGAAAGTTAGATACGACTTCTACAATCGGCAATTTAATCTTAATCACAACCTTAGTTTTGGCCACCCCAGATCTGATACCTGTCAGAAGTGACACCATCTTACTAACATAATAGCTGCAGAAAACGATGCAGAAAGAAAAGTTATTCTGGAGGGTGACAAACGTTTGCACATACAAAAAGCAGAAGTGTTTTACAAAAAGTTGAAAGAAGCTTCAGAACTTGCGAAAGGTGGAGGAGTCGACGTTTTTATGTTTTGACTATCAGCAGAATCTACCTCTGCCCCATATTCCATCGGGTGACGTATTTTACAAACGACAGTTGTGGGAGTACAACTTCTGTATTCATTCCTCTAAAACAAAACTAGCTACTTTCTACATGTATGATGAAATGACGGCGAAAAAAGGATGCAATGAAGTCGTCAGTTTTTTACATCATTACATAACTAATTATGTTTCTGAAGATGTAACCACGCTTTACTTATTTTCAGACAACTGTTTTGCACAAAATAAAAACCATACTTTAGCTCAATATTTGCACACTTTCATGAACATTTCGGGTTCACGTATTCGCCAGATTATCCATCAGTTTCCAGAACCGGGTCACAATTTTCTATCGTGCGACCGTTGCTTCGGTCTTATTGAAAAGGAAAAGAGGAAGAAAGAGATTGTTTACTTGCCATATGATTGGATAAATTTAGTTAAGAAGAACTCAAAAAAATTCCGTGTAATCGAAGTGAAACAAGATATGATTCTTAATTTTACAGGTACATTCAAACCAATCTTTAAAAAGACAATAAGCAATCGGTTAAATGAAAAATTTCGTATTTCCAAATACCGTTTATTTAGATATGAAAAGAAGAATGTCATCGAGTGTAGTGAGACAGCTGGTTTCGCAGTTTTTTCGTCATTTGCTATCAAAAAACCCAATACCGTATTAGCATTGCCAAAAACTAAACTTTACGAGTCTTTTCCTTTGAGCATTAATCCTAAAAAAGTAGAGAATGTGATGTCCCTTGCTGATAAATATGTACCACCTGTACATATGTGGTATTATGAGCAAGTACGAAGTGCTAATAGTACGCAGCAATCAAATCAAGAAAACACTGACGACAGCGATCAAGAAGTTGAGACCGAAATATTTTAAAATATTTTAAGTAGGCTTTCGCAATCTTTACCAAATATGTTTTGACGTTTTCTCACTTACATTGTTTGTTTTTTGATAAAAATGTTGTCATACATTCATACATTATAGTATTTCTTTTAATAAACAGGTTGTCTTTTGAATTAAATAATGTTTTTTTTTTGTTTTTTTTTCTGTGCAAGAAACGGACATCTCCACCATCTTGTTTTTTTTAATGAAACACCTTTTTCAAAAAACACCTTATTTTCTTAAATAAATATTAGCTGCTGACCTCTTCTATCTAAAAACTAAGACTCCCAAAACTAAATCATGTGTTTCTTCTTCTGATAAAGTTTTTATCAATTTCTGAACATTTTACAAAAGTGGACTTGACCGGTTTTTGCACCGAGCCCTTCAATTGTTGTGTACATATTTTTTGTCAAATTTCATAATGGATAAGTAGGCAATATCATTCAACTAAATGGTTATAATTTCATATCCACATTGATGAATATGAAATCCACCAATCACAGTTCATCTAAAGGTATCTATAATCGTCAAGATATAAAGAAGTTAAAATAAAAATCTTCAGTTGATTTAAAATACAAATTTCTTTGCGCTTTACATATAAATAATAATCCCAAGAAGAAATGAAAAAAACATAATTTATCAATCACAGGAACTAATTATATTTTTTCAAAAATGTTTTTATGCTTGCAAGATATGGATAATATTTGGAATTTAAATAATTATGGTTTAATAATATATCAATTTATCATTACCTTTACTCCACAAATTAATAATATTCCAATCACAAAACTTTTGAACATCTTGTAACTTGTGTATTTAATAATTAAATGATTGGGTTGAATTGGTCTAAGCTTACTCTGTAAAGGACTAGCAACTGGTATTTATACATATAATTTAAAATTTCATTGAAAATATATCAACATATAATTTTCAGCTAAACGTTATTTAGTTAAAAACAGGGACTGATTTAAATTATTTAAATTTGAAATATTAAATATTAAATTTTAACAATAATATAGTAAAAGATTAAAGATATACTTTTTCGAGATACTCATGAAAAAAAATTACTATTAGGGTTAAAAAAAAACATTGAAGAAGTTAAGCAAAATTATTGAATAAAAATTCACCCCTTTAAATGAAATTATTTTAAATTCATTCATTACGTGTTATATAAAAATATTTAAAGCTACACGATAATTCAGAAAAATGGGTTATTTCCAAACGAAAATTATTGGAATTCACGGTCCAAAAAAGTATTTCAATATCCCGTCTAAACAATTCAATAGAAACACAAAGTTTGTTTATATCTTAAAAAATAGTAAATTTATGATTTTGCGAGTGGATTTAGAACAAAAATAGTGTCAACTACAGTTACTAGTTTTATTTGAAAACATTGGAAATAAAGAAGTAGAAGAAATAAAGGTAGAAAGTGTGATATAAAAAGAACATGCATTGCATTCAACTTATTTATATTTAGTAGGAGTATTTCTAATATTCCAGTGACTTGCAGGGTGGTAAATTATGGCAACAGATGATATCAACAAAATTTAATTAAATTAGAAGATTTGATGAACAGCCAGAAAAATAAATATGGAAGTATGTGGTCAGTTAACTCAAAGAATAAAATTAAAAAAAAAAAGAATAAAATATGGAAGTGTTGGTTTTTTTATTATGTGTTTTAGGTTTAGGTTGTAAAATGGAAACAAGGAAAATGTCTTATGCATGAATTCATGTAGAGCGAATTATAGGAACAATTAAATCAATATTGTGAATGCACCTTGGTAGATTAGAAACAGCGATCTGTATCGATGGACACTGTTGACCAAACTATCACTAGATTAAGGCTATCTTCTTAATACCATCAACCAGACAAAAAAATCTTAAGCGAGTGAAATAGTCAAGTGTTAGTGCAAAGCGCCGCGAAGTGAGACTCAGTATTTTCGCTCAAAGCCGATCCTGTGTTTTGTTTACTACCTTACTCGCGATATGAAGTCTAGCGCTGGCCATAAAGAGACAAACACACTCCTTCTAGAAGCTACCAGAGAGATCTCTGCGCGGCGGTTAAGTCATAGAGAAGGAGTTCCCGGACGTTCTAGATCGCCGAGAAACTACTAGTGCAGAGCTGGCTTTAAATAAATAATATATCCAAAATGTCACAATAAATATCATAAAGGATCTTACTAAGGCGACAAGGGCATATAATGTCACTTCTTCTATTAGGATGCGAGACGATGATGATACTTAAACTAAGAGTGTCGAATGATACTCCGGCAAAGAGTCTAGGGTGAGACTCCGACCAAAAGTGTCATTATTGTTGATCTAGCCGCTTTTTATAGTATTCAATGGTCAGTACGTGTCTAGTTTAATGTTATATTTACATTTATCGAAAATGAAGTTATGAATTGAATCTACTGTTTATCAAAATATTATGCTGAATTATTTAATGTAACGAATGTTTATTATAATAGAAAATGGATATTTTATATATAGGGTGATATTTGTTTAGCGTGACAATATCAATTGAAAAAAGAAGTCAAATATCTAGGCCTTATCCTGGACAACAAACTTCTTTAAAATATTGATGAGAATGAAGTGGTAATACTCTAAAATGGATATATACAGCATTAGTAAGAGACCAATTATTATCACTTACGGGGCTGTAGCCTGGAGTAACAAAACTAGTTTAGCTACTATAAGAGCAAATTTCTCAATAAAGAATAGCCTGTTTTTGCATGACCGTTACAATGAGAAGCTGTCCTAAATCTCATTCATATCTCTTTTTTTTAAATACTTGTATGTATAGCATCTTAATTCAGAGAATTTCTAAATTATTAAAGATTCAAGGATTTCAAAAATTGATATATACTTACGGTCTAGTGCATTTTCCTAATAAATATTAATTTGCATACAAACTAGTAGGTACATTGTTGTGTCATCACATGTCATTTTCAGTAAGTACAACTTTTGCTATTTCATTATGTATGTCGACTCTATAATTAACGGAATCACCGGATTAGTTCGTCGTAGTTTTTATGAATGAATTTTTATTCAATTTTATAAAACATTTAATAAAACTGATTTTGTACAGAAGATTATCGGCACAGGACCGAAATCGATATTTTATACGAAACAATTTTAATTCTTGATTTTTACACAGTTTTTGTTTATCATTCGTGATACTTATTTTATATTTTGCTAGCGTTCTTTTGCGGTTTGGGTGTAAGATTTGATAAAACAATGTGGTTTCGATACCTCGTCTGGACCTTCTTCAGTACAGATACCGGGGCACAGTGCTCACTTTTTAAGTGAATCACATAGGGTATTTTGGACAAACAAAATATTACATACATCTTTTACTCCTAATACAGCCTTTAAAAGGGGGCCTTTAGTGGGGGAGATTATTAATTTAAATTATGAGTTTAAGTTTTAACAAACGTTTTCGGAATAAGTTTATGGTCTGACAATTAAGCCTAAATAACTTCGAATCTAGTCGCCATTGGAAACAACATAGATAACATTCAAACTTCAATATGTCATATCATATTTGTCAAATATTAAAAGGGTTATGTCGTATAAACTGGATATCCCAAAATCTGTGTACAACTTAGTTGGACGGTTGCCAAAACGTGAAATTGTAAATATATTTAGAGGTCAAGATGTCGCAATTTCGACCATTTATAAAACTATAGCAGAATGCGAACAAGTTATACCATGTGGGCTAAGGACGATATTAGGGACAGTAATTTTGTCACTTTTTCCATGAAGATTAAGTAAAACCATAATATTTTTACACTTTTTAATCTTCTATAAGTGTGCGCTAACCTAATTAAAGCAACAAATATTATTAAAACACATTTGTAAGCTAAAAAATTAAGACTATGCATTTATTCACGACATTCTTATGTAACCATAGTCACACTAAGAGTGCCTGTGCGTGATGTTGCTATTTGCTTTTTATTATTTGTTCTAAATAAATATATTCATGGTAATACCGTTCTATGTTATTTTTTGTTTATGAATAATATGACAACTGATATTTTTATTTCTATAAATGTGGTGTCGTCAAACATAGTAAAAGAACGTACATAACAGGAATGACAGTAGCTGTTTTTTCAATAGCTCCAGGCCAGATGATAAAACCAGAATATAAATGTGTTTATTTGAGATTTTTTATTTTAATTATTCAATGTGAGCCGTGTCCAGGCCGTTGGAGTCTATGCCGGTCGGCGTAGCCAGGTAAGGGTTGATGATTTTTGATGGCGGCAAAGCCGCCACCCTACGATAAGTCGTTGCTTTGTTTTCTTGTTGCATATTTATGGACTGGTATGTGCAATCGCAAGAAATTATGTGAAAAAGTTTGTTTTTAATTCAATTTGAGCTGTGCCCAGGCCATTGGAGTCTATGCTGGTCGGCGTAGCCAGGTATGGGTTGATATTTTTTGGTGGCGGCGAAGTCGCCACCCTACGATAAGTCGTTGCTTCGTTTTCTTGTTGTATAAATATGTTGCGCAATTACAATTTTTCATTAAGTACTAATTTTATCACAATCCGGCAACATTGTAATTATATTTTCCAAATTTGACAGAAACCATGGAGTTTCGTGTTTACAGTCGTCAAAATGCTGATTTTTATAGAAATTAAATAATTTTTTTTGGCTTAAATAATCCATTTACCGCATTTTTTTTTAAATGTACTATTTAAAATACGCTCTTTTTGATAAAAAATTAATTTCTTTAAAATCCCACTGTCCCTAAAGTCGTCCGGACCCACCAAGTGTAAACCTTCCAAAAAGAGGACTTTCAGCTTCAAAGGTTTGACTATTGCCTAGTCAAATAGCTTGGTGGAAGCCACAAAAGACCAACTGGGAAAATCGACTCGGAAATTAGGTGGTAGATTAGATGACCATTAGTAAGAACTAAGTAGAAAGGGGCTTAAATATCGAAAACGGAAGAAATGCCCTAAATACACTGAAGAATAGCTGCGCAGAATCCCAATATGTTGCCATGCAGTAAGAAGACACCACTTCACAGCCAACAAAGTTGTTATCATGGATGACAAAAAATATTTTACATTGTCGCATTCGAAAGTAAAAGGTAATGACGGATTTCATACAGATAATATAGAAAATTGCCCCAATAAAGTGAAATATAAATCAAAAAAGAAATTTAAGGACAAGGTTTAAGTCTGGTGTGCCATATCAGCGATGGGCATTTCATGGCCTTATGTTGCACACATGAGGGGTGAGGCACTGGATTCAAATATTTATACTGATCGATGCCTTCCGAAATTGGTTGATTTTATTAATACACATTACCCTAACGATGACATATATTTTGGCCCGATCTAACAGCTTGTCACTACTCTAGAACAACAAGAAATTGGTTAGAGACCTACAACATCTTATTGGTGCCCAATAATGACAACCCTCCAAATGTAACCCAGGCTCGTCCAGTTGAAGATTTTTGGGCAATATTAAGTAGAAAGGTTTACGATAATGGTTGGGAAGCCGAAAATGAACAACAGTTACGATTACGAATATTTCAAAAAATTCGCGAAATAGACCATATTACCATCCAGAATCTGATACGGCAAGTTAATCAGAAATTACGTACAATTGAAAACCATGTGCCTCTAAGTTTAATTTAAATTGCGTTTATTGTTAAGTAGCTATTAAGGAAAAGGCTATTAAAAATATTTGAATACATTTTACCCTTTTCTGTAAATCATTCATTAATATTTTTTCCGAAAACTTTTGTTACATACGTTATTACTCCGCCGATTTTGAAAACACCAAGAAGATATTTTCGCCCAAAAAGGCACATATGGCTTGCTTTCTTTCTTCATACGGCAGCATAGTAATAACAAATTTAAATTTAAAAATATTTAAAAAGGTGGGTTGGCTCAGTGGTTAGAGTCATGACTTTGAGATCGGAAGGTCTTAGGATGGAATCCCACCGTTGGCCGGGATTTTTTCATTTAATTTAATTATTTAAAATTAATTCTGAGGCCTTAGTAGGATTCCCCACTCGACCATTCACTGTTGGGTTCTAATTAACAGTGCTGTTCCTAAAGTGGCGCTGGAAACAGTAACAAAGCATACACAGAACACGAGGCTAATGGCCGTAGTAGTCGACGCCGATGACACCAAATTAAAAAAAAAAAATTTAAAGGTGACCACTGTGCCCCTATGTCCATTGAATACCGGCATTCCCTACTATTATTACTAGCTATTTATTATAGAAGGAAAAAGTAAGAAAGTTTAGCTAAAATCTTATATTTTTCCGTGTATAAAACATTACTTTTTTTCCTGACGGTAAATACACAAATAAACAGTGTACCTACTTGTAATATATTAAAAGACATACAGTTCTACTCAAAAGTCGATTCGTATATTTTGAGTTGTTACATTTAGATTATTGAAATTTGGAGAGTGAAAATAAATGGTTGTAAACTTCTCTACTAGTGATAACAGGTGACGCAATAGTCATAGATGACGTCAGAGGGCTGGTGTAACCAATAATAAATTGGACGGTATTGCAAGTTTATTCGATCATACAAATTTTGTTTATATTTAGGGTAATTTTGATGGATACACTAACTAAACACTAAAACTATAGTTTTACATTTAATAATTAACGAAGATTCAAGAATCAGTTCTTATAGTAACTATTAAAAATACGCTACATCTAGTTCCTGATACGGTTTCATATTACGCTGGCCCAATATTACAAGGGTGTATGTTATAAATTTAAAAATTTGTCCTAGTTCTCTTACAAGGGGTTTTATCATCTGGGATAGACATAGAAACTGGTTTGGTATACTTATCACTATTACAACGAATACAAATAGGAGAAATACAGAGATGTCTAATATAACTCCATAATCTGTTTTCTATTGACATACCATTCCATATTCATGTGACATCATGACAGTCAAACACCCTTGAAATACCCTTTAGTTTTATCCTCTAGTGGATCAGAGAATATGGTTAGTAATTTCCATTGATTATTTTTTAATATTTGTTTAAATTTTTTGTACCTTTTTTTTATTACCTAGAGCAACTTTTTTAATTAACCTACTTCAAGTTAGTATATTAATTGTTTTTTTTTTAATTAAAGAAATAATTATTAGTATTATTAGTTGAGCAGTTAATTAATTATTAAAATTAAATAATTGTTTCATGCTGCTACCATTTTTCTTTTTTCTTTTACTCACTAGATGTACCAGAAGATGAAGTTCTAAACTTCGAAACCGGTCGAATTGTAAATATATATCATTGTGAGATGCAAAGAACTTTTTTCTTTCCTACCCTTTAATTGATTATATTCAATATATTTAATAATTATATTTAAATTATTATATATTTTGGTTTAGGATAAATTGGATAAAAAAGATCTACCATTAAATATTCTTTTCCGTCGGCCGACCATTTATGATGTATTTTAACGCACTTAAAATCGTTGATTAATCACTCCTATTAATGAATGATTTATATTGACCGTTACCTATGGTGTAGGCAACCAAACATACATATACATTTGAAATCAAGAAGGTGTGTTAAGAGTATCTGTCATTGTATGTCATTATTTAATTTCTTAAAGTAAGATATCTTTATTTTTGAAAAGTAAGGTGGACGGAAAAGTTCTGTAACGAACTCGTGAATTAAAATGGCGATTAACAACATCGAACATTATCGCGCTTGCTCTGGTCGCGCGTTAAATTATCTTGATTGTTAATCGCCCTTATCAATACACTTGTTCGTTAAATAACCATTTCCGTCGACTTTTAACACACTCAAAATCGTTGAATTATGACCCCTATTAATGGAATGATTTTCTATTAATCACTTAGAAAATATAATAGCAGATAGGCCACCACTGTATAAAGTTATACATTATTAATCTCGCTATCATATAATCAGTATCTCTCTTTCTAATGAAGGCTTTCTCACTAGTTTTAGAATTCTCAGCAGTAGCGTACCTACCGTAAAACAATTTCACTGGGTCATTTTAAATGCGAAAATGTTGACCAAATAGAATATAAAATAAAATGTTTAAAAGGTAGGTAGGTCCATTTTTAATGAAGTGAAAACAAAATACGACTTTTTTGTTATGAATATAATATTAATAACAATTACTTTTAATACCACAACACGAACAAATTTAAATTAAACACTGGAATAATTGTCTGAGAAAAGCTTTGTAAAACTGACAAATACAAACAAAGAGATAGGGATATTAATCTATTTCTCTCTAATTAGAATTCTCGACCATATTATCATGGCGACACAAACATTGTTTACTGTCCTCTCTTTACTACTTACTTACTTACTCTGAGATTAATCAACGATTTTATTATATGCAACCCAACGTACGTTGCTCTTATTATACATTTATATTGACAGAATCCCGTGGTATAGGCAACCAAACATACATATTCATTTGAAATCAAGAAGGTGTGTTAAAACTATCTGTCATTGTATATCACTATTTAATTTCTTAAGTTATCTTTATTTTTGAAAGGTACAGTCGACGAAAAAGTTCTGTAACGAACTCGTGAATTAAAATGGCGAATAGCAATATCGAACATTAACGCGCTCGCTCTGCTCGTGCGTTAAATTATCTTGATTGTTAATCGCCCTTATTAATACACTTGTTTGTTAAATAACCATTTTATTCTGATTTTATAAATACTTTTCTAGGTTCGTAGTTTCTATGAAGACCAGAGTGAAGGAGGCAAATAGGTAATCGTCAAATTTCTGTCCTTCTTTTTATAAAGTTCGCCAAATTAACTGTAGTTGGCAGGTTAAACGTCTGCCGTTAATTTTCTATGTATGTCAATGTAAAATGAAGTGATTTTTTAAAATATTGGTGAAAAGAATCAAAATAGTGTGAAAAAAGTATCCGAGTACAAGTAACATGAGTGAAAAAAACATCAAAGCAAGATTTACTTTGTTCCAGATTGTAAAACAAGATACAAATCAGTTCTAAAACTAAAGAAAACTTTTTGAAGCTTTTAATGCAACTACAATAATGTATTTATGTCTAAATATAATATTTAAACTAGTCACAACACGTATCTTACGGAGTGTAGTTTATTTTATTACAAGATTCTATAATAAAAAATTTTACAGTCATAAATCCTGACAACAATAATTATACAATAAATTTATCTTAATAGAAAAGAAAATTAATTTTTTTATAGAATTTTTATAGTAGATAAAGAGTTACTAGTGTTATTTTTTTGTTGAACCCCAATTTTGTTATTGTAATTGTTTTTTATAGGGCCGATAAAGCACTTTCTAGAGATGATGCTGATCTACACTTTTTAGAAGGTATTTCCAAATATTATGAGACTCTTTTTACTGATGGTACTGTAAGCAAAATAAAAAGCGGAAATTAACGGATAAGGCAATTTCATGCACATTTCCAAATCTCCCTTTATGCTTGTGTTATAACAATAAAAAATCTGTTAACTGTGTTTTATTTTGCTCCTGAAACTATATTTAGGTATAATTCAAAAAAAATTATGCACAAAATTGTACTTACCAAATTTCACCATTAAACAAACCTTTTCGAAATTGGTCATACCTACCTATTTTGAATTTTATATAGATAAAATTAAATAATTTATCAATTAAAATATGCGAGACTTATTTAGAAATAAATACAACAGTATGTTCTGTGCTATATTTGGCAACACACAAGTTTATTTTTATTATTTTGACAAAATTTTGTAAAATTCCCATAAGAAGCTATTTATTTTGAACAGCGCTAGCAACAACAGCGCCCTTGCGGTGGATTAATAAAGCTCAATTCGTGTTCGTCTTTTGGGACGTATTTCGAGTATACCGATTCGCCTCCTTATCTCTAGTCTTCATAGTAGTTTCTACTGTCACTAAAAAAGTTTTTCAATTATTTTCAGAATGTGTCAAATAAAACGGAAAATTAGTGACATCATAGTTTCAAATTAAATTTCAAATGCTAGTGTAATAAAACAAACAATAACACAATACATTTTATTAGAAATAAAAATAATAAATAAATATTTACAAAAATACTTGGGTAAATGAAAAATCTTCAAAATGAAACCAGTAGAATACTACGTTGTAGGGTTATTTCATGGTTCCTTTTTTTAGACTGAGAATCACGGTGATATCTGAAACAAAAAAAATAATTATTAATATAAGGCCAATTTTAAGGTACTATTTGACAAAAAAGGGCAAGCTGTCACTATTTTAGGCATATTTCTCAGTATATTATATATCATTATCTAGTAGTTTATGAATGTCAATTTTGATAGTTATAAATATGCCAATTATACTTTTGGTATTATAGCAAATGTTAAGACGTAATAAAAAATCTGAATTTGTAGCGATATTTATGGGAAATAATAATTAAAGTTGTGATATTAATACTAAGTACACAAATAAATAAATAAATTTGTAGCAATATTTATGAAGTTATAATATACTTCTTATTTAGAATACAATTGAGTTAAGTACAAGGTGCCGCAAAATAAAGTCCCCTATTTGTTTTTTATATAAAAGTAAGATTAATTAAAAAAGAGTAATATTATAAATGAAAAATATTTATTTAAACTCTAAAAATTTGTTTTGTTACACACTAAAAACAATATCGACCAAATGGCCACCCCCATAATAATTAATGCAATAATGAGCTCTTTTTAAAGCATTTGTCATAACTTTCTCCAACATTTCAGATGGTATTCTGTCAATTTCTTTCCGGATGTTGTCTTTTAATACTTCTAGTGTTCGAGGATTATTTACAAATACCCTATCTTTGAGATAACCCCATAACTAAAAGTCTGGAACAGTTAAATCGGAAGACCTTGGCGGACATGCAATATCGGCATTTTTCGAGATAAGGCGTCCAGGAAAAATTCTGATAATCGACGAATTATTTTGATAAAAAAAATTTACGATTTCGGCACGTTTTCGAGGCATATATCAATTTATAATGAATTTCCCAAGTATCTACTTTGCGACTGACAGAAAAACTCGAACAGATGTCAACTACAAACGAAACCATGACAACATTCCATAAGGTACTTGATTTTGCGCCACCTTGTATATTTTGCCAGTGACATATATGGCATGGGTAAGCAAATCCTTCATTATCTTTAAATTTTACGCCACTGTTAAAATACTTATTTGATAATTTTAAATTTTTTTATGTATTTTTTTATTATATCATGTAGTCTTGTTTGGAAAAAATTCAAAATTTCAAAATAAATTAAAATAAAAGCTAGCCACCTTTGTGTGCGAATATCTCGAAAATCAATCGCTTTATAGGTTTCTAACAAGACTAGATTAAGTGAGGTAAAAAACATAAAAAAGATTTTTGGACAGTGGAGTACGCCACAGGCAAAGTTTATTTACCTGATTTTTTTGCTGATAGGTTTATCTTATGACACCAAAAACGTTTGCCAAATTTGGTTAAATTATACTGATTAATAAAAAAATTTCGAGGTTCGTTCCCTGGCTACTAGATGACAGTAGATGTATCATTATTGAGTATTAATATCCATAAATAATACCAATTACTCTTCAAAATTAAACATCAAAAAATTACATGTCTAACATGTTACATACTTTAAAGAGCCGACAATCCACTTATGAGCGTGTAACATTTTTTTGTTAAAAAAAATATCAGCACTCGATAAATCCAAGAAAAAAATTTGTGAAAATGGTCCTTTACGAGAAAAACCATTCACTTTTACTCAACATAAAAAAAAAACACACACAGTGTGGTGGTATTTGCAAAACATGTACTTACTTAATGACAATTTATTTTTATACAAGCAAGAAGTAAATATAATAATTTAAACATCGCGTGTATTTTCTCCATTCTATTCGGTCTAAATGTATCCCCCGAAATGATCAATTGTCACGTTTAGATATTTGCTTTGATTCTTTTTGGATGATCTTTAATATTATTGATATAATGTAAGTGCCATTGAAATTCTACCTCTTTACTCTGTCTTAAATAATCGATTTGTTCTATAATTGAATAAGTTTGCATAAATCTGAAATTCAATTTTTGAGATGTTAAGAATATAAATAAAAATTTCCTTGGTTTAATCGGTCATTGTTTTTATTTTCAATCGTTTAGCAACCAAGGAAATATTTATATATGTATATAAAATTCTACTACGGTCAGGAAATTATCCTTATTCAAATTAAGATTTTTGTTTTATGTTATTAGAAAATTCTTCCTACAAAAATATTCAAGATTCTATTCACACTAACGATGTTTTAGCTCCGTTATTAAACATGAAATTTTTGAATGAGTTTGTATTATAACTTATTACTGGTATTGTAGGGGTTTAGATATGAAATAAGTCTGTTAATAATTAATTTCGGAGATACGTTGTAAACTGAAACTAAAACCTTATACATGAGATGGTACGAAGTGAAGTGACACCCTGAAAGAATGGTCTAAAAACATTCTAAGCTAATATTATGTCTCCTAATTTTTTTACTGATAGAAAGTATTGGCAAGCAAGTAATCTTCATCTGGATCCCTTCACATATCGGTATTAAGGGAAACGAAGATCGAGCAGCAAGGGAAGTTGTGAGAAGTAACCTATCATTGCGCGTTTATGAAGTGGTTCCATCCAACTACAAGTGCAATTTAAAAACAAAAGTGCGCGACCTGCCGCATGCGATTTTAGGTGCGATTTTAACGACAAGCAGCGAACAGACGTTCAATATTAAAATGGAGGTGGAAGAAGTAGCAACGGTGTTGTTTTATTCTGTTCTTCGGCGGAACAAATTGAAACGACGTAGGTACTGGGTTCATCCATTATTTATAGACCCTTAAGTAAAAGACGCATTTAATTTATTATATAAGGATTTACATCAACACGAAGATAAGTTTTTCAAATATTGGGAGAGTCATTTGATGAACTGCTAGCGCAGATTCCCGAACAAATATTTTTGTAGCTATTTTATTTCAATTAACTGTTCAATATTTGAGATCGGTCTTGAATATCGGATATAAATTCATCTACATCAATGCTATAGGAATACATTCCTCGCTATTTCAGGCCGAGGTATACGCAATTTTGCAATGTGCAAAAACGAACAATGAAAGAGCTGTCGAAAATCAGCATATTCAAATAATGTCAGACAGCCAAGCGGTACTTAAGGCCATATCGAGTCAGAAAGTTACGTCGAGGCTGGTATGGGAATGCATCGAAGAACTAAGAACACTGGCAAACCGAAATAGAGTAAAACTATTTTGGGTGCCAGGTCACAAAGGGATCGAAGGCAACGAAAAGGCTGACGAACTTGCAAGAAGAGGGTCAGAAGAAACACCGCAACGAGACACAAACCCAGGAGTACCAAAAAGTACAGTCCGGAGTTTTATAAATGACTGGATTCGGGAACAACATATCAACTATTGGGGAAGCACCCCAAAACAGGCACATGGAAAAGCCTTCATAGGCAGACCATGTCCCAAAAGAACTGGAGAACTACTCTAAATGAATAGGAACCAGTTGAAAGTGATAACAGGGTTCATGACTGGGCACGCCCCAGTAAAGGGACACTTGAACAAAATTGGCATGTACAATGGGGAACTCATGTGCCGACTATGTCACAAGAAACCAGAAACGGCCAAACACATACTGTGCGAATGCGAAGCTCTAGATCGCAAAAGACAGGCTCTTTTTGGACAACCCCAGGTTGATCCAACAACGTATAGAACCCACTCACCCAAGGATCTGTACAAACTTGTACAAGGTACAAAGGTGATAGAGTGGGTGCTATGAACTAACATGGGGTAAAACACAATAAGCCAATAGGCTTCAGTGTTATTCGGAGACACATAGTCAGACGAGCCCAGAGAAAAAAAAATCTACATCAATACAACTGTCGGATATTTTATCACTGGAATTAGAAAAGTTAACAGGAAACTCCAACTCTCAACTGACGTTTCGCACCCGACTTGACGTTTGCATAAGTACATTTAAAAATAAACCCTTTATATGTCATGTCAAATATAAAAATGTTTTTAAAATAGACCATGGAAAAATCCACATGACGGATTCTCCACAATTCTGTCGGTCATGGCTTACTTTGAAAATATTATTTTTGGATCACACGTTATAATATTAAAATATAAACTTACAACTCTAGATAAAGCGTTATAATTCATTTTATATGATCGCTTAGACCATGCGCCATCAACAATCACTGCAATTAGACCATTTCCCTGTTCATTTACTTCTCCAATATCTTTTGCTAATTGCAATTCTTCCAGTCTTGCTTATTCCATGGCTTCCCAAGCTGCTTCAAAAATACTTTTATTTACCAACTCATTATGAGCTAAGTATTTTCAAAAAGACATTTGTGGTATATTCATTATGGCATACTGCTCGACTATTTATGTATATGCACATCCAGTTGATAGTCGATGACTAAATGTTAGTATTTGTATTTATGCAGTTTTTAATCGAATATAATTCTTGAAATTCGGCGACCAACCTTTCTCAATATATACGAAAACGTAGAAACAAAATTGCTGATAATGTTTACAGCCTTCACTCTAAAAATGTATGGGCGAAACAAGTGTAGCGCAACATTCGCCTACGGTATTTTTTCATGTTTTATGATTAATTTCGTCGTTACCCGGTGTTAAATTTTTTTTTTTTTGAAATTCAGATCAGCTCTAATGTAACGGGGCGTCATTAATCAGTAAATGACCATTTCCAGGCATTAAACATCGATCGAATGGAACAGATTTTAAATTAATGGTTAGGGCAAACATTTCCAAGCTGAACGTCCATGAGGGTTCGAACAGTGAATTGTTGTTAATGGGTATTTAACGCTACTTACTAATTTTCTTACTAATTTGATACGAAAATCTGCGCTAAAACAATTAGACAGTACCGAATACAGTAATTGTTGAAGGAAACGAAAAGGAAAAATAATAATGATAATTTTTTAAATTATAACGTATTTACAAATCCTAAAATAAATTACATTTGGGTGATTATAGGACTCGCCTCAAACTTTTTAAATTCATCAACTTCAGAATTTACTTTTGAATTATCAAATTTTCCTCTTAAAATCTGATCGTTTTGAAATCAAGTCCTCCTCTGCAATTTTACAAATGAAAATCCCATCTCCT